GGCTCAATCATCTCTTTGAAGCGAAAGGCTTTCCCACACCATCTAAGGCGAGAGTTCTGAGCCGAGAAGAACCAAAGTTCAAGAAGAAACCTCTGCATAAATTCTTGGCGACAATGGCTGGAGGTACGCTATTTCGTTTCCGCATTAGTTTTATTGTGTTTCTATTACAATGATTTAGAAACACAAGTTGGCTTCATTAAAAATTTCTTTCAGTTTATGGATGTATGAGGCTATGTCATGATTGAATTAGCTTGATATTGACATGTCAATTCAACCAAAAGTTTAAACTAATAGGTATCACTCGATTCTCTAAACAATCATCGATATGTAGTTAATGTTTTTAGTGCTCTTTTTGATTATTTTTCATATATAAATATTTCCTGAGACTTTCTGTATTAGTAGTAACACTTAGTGTGGTAGTTCTTAGAAAGATAAGAAACTTTAGCATTTGAACCTGTGGTTCTTGTCGAGGAACTATTCACATGCTGTTCAGAAGGGATTGTTACTTACAGCCGCGCAATTATTCTAAGCAACTTTTTCTTGTAATCCTCTGCCCAATGGCCCTCGAAGTTGTGGAGCTTAAATTACCAAGGAAGCTTGCCTTACATCATGGAAGATCTACGAAGGATAAATAGGAGTCACAAGAATCACATGCACTACCAGCTCTTATTAAATTGTATCCCCTCACAAGTTTGGACAAGTGTGCAGCTAATAGAGGAGAATGGAACTGATGTTGAAATGATGATGATACACAAAGTTTCAGGAAGAGACAATGACTGGTCCAATGAGGAAGATGATGGACTGTCTCCGGTTGTTGTTCCTCGTGTTCTGTGTGTGTGACCTCACACACACTTTGCATCTTTCTTCTTGGGGTGAACAACACATTAAAACCAACTGTGTTGACTGTGCTCGGTACCCTTGGAATCTTTCTCTCTAACCCATGCTTTTCTGGTTGGGTTGGCTATTAAATGACACGAAAAAGGAGCCTGTTCTCTTGGTGTTGTTTAATCTGCCTTTGCTTCATATGCCTTCTTCCTTCAGCTGCACTTTCTTACCCTTTCTCTCACATTTGCCTCTGGAACTCATGGCCAGTTTGCTCACTGTGGTGGTGGTAACACTGCTCTGTGTTGGGAGCGGAGGGGGACGTGCCATAGCACAAGCGGTGCAGCGCCATGTAGTAGGTGATGACCTTGGCTGGGATCTTTCTTCCAATTTGGCTGCTTGGTCCAAGGATAGGATCTTTAGGGTCGGAGATGAGATTTGTAAGACCCTCTATCCTCTCTCTCTCTCTCTCTCTCTCTCTCTCACATACACACATTTATCCTTGTTTTCTCTTGTTTTTTCTTCTTTGGAACTTACATGCAATCCATAGATATCTTAAGGTGCATCTTTTTTTATAATAGTAGTAGACACTTATTCTTCATAATATATTGTGTTTTGGAATACTTGTCTTGTGACCAAAAAAAAGATTGTTAAAATAAACATTTATATTAATTGGTTTCATGCTATAAACATTTTAATATTAGGTTGTGATGTAGTTGTTGTGAAATTTAACTATTTTATGTCGATATTATTCACCATTAAATCTCTTACCGAGGAACAAACTCGTGCATATACTTCAAACTTCTGGAGGCCATTCTTCTTATTGGTGGCTCAGAGTAGAAGCAGAAGGACGTCTACAAAATTGCTCCTCCACCATCTACTTGTGGGCACAATTTGAGTGCAGAAGATCTGCACTTAAGAAGCCTTTACTGATAGATCATCTTATGTTTGGCAGGGTTTGCGTATGCAGCAGCCGAAGAGAGAATCCTCGAGCTACGGAGCAGCGACAAGCTCGAGGAATGCGATCTCGACGACCCCATCGGCATGTACACCAGCGGCGTCGATAAAGTGAGACTCGACGGAGAAGGGGCGCGCTATTTCGCCAGCTCTACGTCGGAGAACTGCAAAAACGGGCTCAAGCTACGCGTGCGTGTAGTGCCTCGGGCGACAAACGACGAGCATACAAGGTTTGCAGCAGTGAGTGCGGAGGCGGCGGCGGGGCCGGTGCCGTCCGCCTCGGCTCGTCTCAAGGCGCCTCAGCTCTTGTGGATTGCCTTCGTGATTGCTGTCGCCATGTGGTTTTAGCTTTGCGTAGTATTTACTGTCATCTGAACTTTGTCCAACTTTAGTTAGTGCTGGTTAAGTCAACGTTGATTAGAGTTAAGTTATTAGATTAAATTGATATCTGGTATCATATATGGTAACCCTATTCCTATTAGAACCAAAACCTAAACTAAAACTCAACTATCCAAGCCTCAGTGCGATCGTCCCCTACGTTCCAACAGTCTCAACGCTCTTCTTATTTGAAACTCTTAATTTCACGAACAGGAAACGAGCTAGATATCTCTTTATTGATACTATAACAATGAATTTTCTTATACTTTTTATTCAGTCACATACATGATTTTTCAAAATGATTTTAGGTTCCATTGTATATATCAAAGTTAGATTTAGTAATAGTGATTAGATTCTTGAAGACGAGTTAGAATCGATGATTCTAGTTGTCCCCTGATATGACGGACTAAGTATTCTCGCTTTCTTTATTTGAAACTCTGATTCCACGAACAAAAAGTGAGCTAGATTTCTCTTTATTGATACTATAATAGCGGACTTTCCTATGCTTCTATTTAGACACAAAAGAAAAAGAGCATGTTTGCATGTCAATTTCTTACTTGTTTATATATCTTACTTGATATTGCGGGATGCTACTACCGATGGCTTCAGAGCGAAGGATGTTATCACTGTTTGTAGTAGGAGAGGAGTATAGTATCGGGAAATTTGGATCATAATCATGTATGCACCGGAAAAATAAAAAAATAAAATTTTAAATTTTTTTTAGAAAATGTTTTTCATCATTGTGCAAAGATTGATGCATAAAAACCTGTAAAATCGAAAACTGTATATATATAAAAGGTATGTTATATAGGGAGATTATATATTCCTAAAAATTTATAGATATGTGGGCGACGATGAAAAAAGTCAAATGTCCTAATCTCTAGTGATGATCCATACACTACGTGCTGCAAAGATGCTTCTCAAATTACTACAAAATTATCATTTTTCACGTGCACCTCATGATGAAAAAGAGGCTGACCCTTTCTTGCTATCCACATGTTCCAAGGCTATCGGCTAAGGAAGAGAAAGAGAGATGAGTATAGGAGGTGGCAGCCAAAAGGGTCTAGTCTATGCCCCTTTGGTTCCCTCATATTTATAGATATCCTATATCAACTGAACCTTGATGGATTTTGCCCTCGTAAGGTTGGTTGACACCCCCGATGACCGATTGTGTTAGATCTAGAATTTTCAGGTCTATGAGATCAGTATCAAATAATAGAGTACTCATATAAGACATTCTTAGTATCTCAAGTCTAAAGACTAATTACACCATTGAGATGTCGGAATCGTTATCTAATAATAAGGTATTATTAATCATCCAGCATTTTGTGAGTGGATCAATCAGTGAATTCATTCTCCAATGAGTTCTTGCACTATATCTCTAGTGTCCTCACGTGAGCAACTATAAGACCAACCGTCTCCATCATATGGATGGGTAAATAGCATACCAATCTATTCGGTTATCTTGATATCTATCTCAAGTAATCTATGACCGAGATTATTTATGTTTAAAGGTGAATTGATCTTATCACTATGATATTATCACAATCCGATTCCTATTGCATAGATCCATGAACATTACAATATATATAACATAAAGTGAGAAAATATCAGTAAATAATAATAATAATAAAAATATTAAAAAAAAATCAATATATTATATCATACACATATAATCACTCATGTAATTAGTTTATAGAAACCTTTGACTAGCACATACGAGGTTGCCATCGTCGTCATTGGATAGGAGAGATGCCACCACTATTAGCAATCGAAGAGGAGCAAAGGAAAGAAAAGGAGCGTTGGTGGTGGTTGCCTGGTTACACTCATTCGGTGTAATTCTCGTGTAATCCTCCTTTGCCATATCTTAAACTCGATCTGCTTTGCAGAATTCGACCTAAATGATTTGAACTTGGATCGAGACCCTAACCGAACCAAATCAACTCTTAGAGAAATCAGATTTAAATCAGGTTATCGATTCAATAAAAAAGAGTCGACTCAAGTTCATGAGTATGCTTGATATTTAAAAAAAAGTACCCATAGTAAAAACTAAATATAGGGGTAAACCTCGTTACTAGTTTCTTTTGGATAGATTGCCTAAACAAATATGTTATTTTGGAACTTAGAAATAAATAGAGGTTTTTCTCAACTCGATCATCCATTAGTGACGCTTAGGCTTGACAACGGTTCTAAACATCGTTTTTGTTTTCGCGGAATCAGAATAAAACTGAATTATCAAGTTTTGGTTATGGAATCGAACCAGAAACTCTTGGTTGTGGTTTTGGTTTCGATTTCAATTCTAGTTTGGGTGATTCGGATATAAATCATTAAAATTTTATTATTTTTAATTTAAAAATCAAAAAATTTATTTTCCAAAAATTTAAAAATAGATGCATAACTATAATGAGCAAAGCTAATATAAAAAAATAAATCAAACTAAATACCTCTTTAGAAAAAAAAAAATAAAACTATAAAATTTTTAATTAAATATGTTAAAATTTTTTAGGGTAAATAGTCTGAACAAATATGTTATTTGGGAACTCTGATAGATTTTTGTTTCCAACTCGATCATCCGTTATTGACCCATAGGCTTAACCACAACTCCGAAACCATCGATTCCGGTTCGAATCATTAATTATTATTATTAATTTTTAATTTAAATTAATTTAAAATTTTATTTTTCAAAAAAATTAAAAATAGATGTATACCTATAATGAGCAAAGCTGATAAAATAAATGTTTTTAATCAAACTAAATACCTCTTTTGTATTATATAATAATATATTTTAATCGACCTAAATATACTCACAAGATTCGAACACAAATTCTGCAACTATTACGTCTCTCTTTTTTGTTTTATTTAACCAATTTGTTACCGGAACTGTGCCTTTTTAAAACCCTAACGGAGCTGGAACCGGCAGAACATTCCGACAGCCTCAGCGCGGCCGTCCCCGACGTTCCAATACTCTCAGCTCGCACCACGTTCCAATAGCCTCAGCGTGGTTGTCCTCCACTTTCCGATAGTCTCAGCGCGGTCGTCCCCCGAGATGATGGACCAGGTATTCTCGCTCTCCTTTTTTCCGTCTTAGCGCGGTCGTTCGATGGGCCTCTTTTTATTTTCGTGTTTCCTTCGCCTCGAGGACCCGTCGGTATGAGCACTCGCATCCGCTGGGTTGAAAAAAAAAAGCCTGCTTCATATACAGATCCTAACTTCTAATGCATCCCCTGCTCCTTATCTTTATTCTGATCCAGACTTTGAATCTACTGCTGACTCTAAAGAATATGCACCACTTACTTAATCTAGAAGAAAGTCACTGGTCACCTCAACTACACTTTAAGAACATTGAATTTCGTCGACAACACAAGCATCGAACCTAGCCTGCGCAGGAGCAAGTCATCATGTGAAAGGACTGGGCGATGAAGAACCAACCCCTACCACTATGTCTTGTTAATACAAATGAGCCCTTAACGTAAAGGAAGCCTTAAAGAAGGCATTTTTGAGTCGCTGACCAGAGGTTTCATGGAGCTAATTGCAAATTACCTATCTTGTACACTGACAGCTGTTCTAATGCATTGTTTTCTTATAAACATATAGACCTGGGGAGGAGAGCAATACTGATCTTTGCCATATCCTTGCTCTAGTTTAGGCAGTCCATCCTTCGGCGTCGGGCTTGGATTTAGACGGGGAGGTTTTTGTAATTTTAATTTACATAACATCTTTGTTCTCCTTCTTTTCCGTCTTTCCTGTGGTTTTATTTCTTTTAAAGATTATTATATCTGTAGTCATCCGTGCAAATTCGAAGGTTTGGATTTGTTTTTTTTTCGCAGCTAGCCTTCTAGTTTTAATACTTGCGTTAGTCTAATTTAAACTCATACTTTTTCTTAATTGATTCAGGATTCTTTCTTTTTCTGCTTCTATCTCTTTTCGTTTAATTCGATGCACTTGACTTTGAGGTTATAACTTTAATTAATAGATTTTTCTTGTTACTTAGTTAAACAGAAGTCTTAAATAGTGACTTTGGGTTGACGTTGGTGTAACGCATATTTTTTTCCTTCTTAACAGGCAGCTTCAGGAGTTGTGAAGTATGTTCATTTTAACTTTTATACCTCAGAGGAGATTCGGAAGATAAGTGTAAAGAAGATCACTAAACCGGATCTCCTTGATGCAAAGAATAGTCCTATTCCGGATGGACTATATGATCCTGCACTGGGTCCGCTTAATGATAATGACTCGTGAGTGTTTATTGATCTAACTTCTCTATGAAAACAGAAAATAAGAAAACCAAAGTAATTACTGTGTAGACATTGCATTTTTTTTTGTTTGCTTATAATTTTTTAATCAACTGCTTAATCAACATTTTCGTGGAATGATGCTTGGAGTTTCCTAATAAGGTTTTTCTTTCACTTATTCCATTGGGAATACATTTGAGGGCTTTTTTTTTTTTACCCAAAACTGTTTTTACTATGCAATTTATATACTGGTCTGCATTGTTTATGTAAGTGCATCAATAGATAGACTTATGATTTTCAGATGATCAAGTAGTTGTAAAGACCAGGTACAACATTTTATCTGGAAAATGATTTGATAACGGTAATATGTGCCAGTATACTAGTTTTGTTTTCCTCTTATACTGCACTAAGCTGACTAGCTATTAGATCACACCCATCAACCATCTACCGAAACCTTGATTATCTAGCTCTTCTCTTGTTATTCCTGTTTTCTTTTTGTGGTAGTGTTACTAAATTTTGATGATTCTACCATTGCATATGTTCCTTTCCTCTCTGATTGCATATGCTATTTTTGCATGTGTCTAGAAATATATGATTTTCCAAAAACTTCTATGGATTCTTGTTCTTTTAGACACAGAGACATTTATACAAGCCGTGTTCCAATGGTGTTTCCTTGCCTATGTGTTGGAAATAGACACTTCAGTTTTTTTTCGATGGTTTTTTATATGCTTTTAGAAATGTTGCACCTTTTGGATGTGGATGCCAGAGCATCACCTAATGGGGTTGTGTATCGAGTAAGTTACAGGAACTTTAGATGGGAATCTGACTATTTGCTTGTTGATGAGGTCCAAAGAGTGGCTGTTATTGGAATTTGCATTGTTGACCGCCCACAGTTCTACTCAGTTTAATGGTCAATGCGTCTCATGAGCTGCTATATTCCGACGGGAGATTGTGGACCTAGTCTTGTTGGTCGGTGCTAATCTTGTAGTCTGACTCTTGCTTTCGTCTGCGTTTGAGTCGCTTTGCACCAAACTTAACTGGTAGATTGCCATGTTTAAAATAGATAACTGTCCAATAATCACAAGGCGTGCAATCACTCAAGCTTAGATATTTAGTTCTCCTTAGCTTCCTTAGCTCCTTTCTCTTGACATGTTGACTTGGGATTGGTAGGTTTTCTTTCCAAAGATGATTTCAGTGATACCTTAAATGTTAGCCTTCCCGCAGGATATAATTTCAGTTACGGCTTCCCTAAGACACTCCGGCCAGATCCATATCAAAGAGGAATACAAAGTTTCCTGCAACTGCGGCCTCCTTGAGACAACTGATCTCCCAGATCAAAGGGAATGACAAAGTCCCCATTAGATTTTGTTAATTGTTAATATAAATCATCAGAAGCATTTTATGATCAATGAACATTTTGTGGCTCAGATTACTCGTCATAACCTGACAAATGAATTCTGAGAAGTTGTGTTTATGAATTCACATTTTTCAATAATTTTCCATGGTGTTGAAAATTTGTTTTCATTTGATGCATTTTAATTACTGATTGCAGGTGCAAGTCCTGTGGCCAGCTTTCTGTTCGTTGCCCAGGTCATTGTGGTCACATTGACCTTGCAAAACCACTTTACAACCCATTATTGTTCAAGACCCTTCAGGGTCTACTTCAAATTACCTGCTTTTTTTGCCACAAATTCAAAATAAACGAAGAAAAGGTAATTCCATATGAGCTTCCCCTTTTCAGATTATTATTCTTTTATCAAGTTTATGTGTTGTTTCTTTGATTTTCTCATGATTCATTAACCTTTCAAACCATGACCAGGTAAAACGATACGTTGCCCAGTTGGATCTCATAGTGAAGGGTGACATTAATGGGGCTAGAAGTTTGGAAGCCAATACATGGAGTGAGATATTTTTTCCTGAGGAAGAAACTGCAGAATCCATAACATCAAATTTTGACAATGCAAATTCTAAGCATTTGACATGGACATCACTTCAACAATCTGAGGCTCTTTCTATTTTTTCTAAATTTATGAGGGAAAGGCGGAAGAAGTGTGATAATTGTGGTAAAAAAAATCCAACAATTAATAGTCCTATATTTGGTTGGCTTAACAAGGTACGCGATTATAACTTATTTTTATTAAAATTTTGAGTTATTAATTGTATCATTTGATCAGTCCATTTTGTTTTTTTGGTCTATGTTTGTTTGGTTTGCATATTATCTGTAAGTTAAATAGAAGGGAATACTTGAAATCAGTGATTGAAAAAGGCGCTCGGGCGCTCGCCTAGGCGCTCGGGCGAGGCGAGGCCCGAACGCCTCGCTAATCTCCCAGGCGGCGCGCTTCAAACAGGCGTCGCCTGGGCGCTCGCCCGAGCCCAGGCGCTGGGCGCTTCGGGCGAGCGCCTGGGTAAACCAAGGCGACCGAACCAGGATTTTAGGTCTGGTTCGGTCCTGGTTCGGTTGGTTAGTTGGTTCAATCGAACCAACTAAACCGATGTAACCCTTACCCAACCCTAACCCGCTGCCGCTGCCACTCCCAATCCCGATCTCGCTGCTCGCCGCTGTCGCTGCTCGCAAACGCTACCGTTGTCGCCGCTGTCGCTGCTCGCAAACGCTACCGTTGTCGCCGCTGTCGCTGCTCGCAAACATTGCCTCTGTCGCCACTCGCGCCTCCCGCTGCTCGTCGCTCCTGTCGCCGCTCGCCGCTGTCGTTGCTCGCAAACGCTGCCTCTGTCGCCGCTCGCGCCTCCCGCTGCTCGCCGCTCCTGCTCCCGCTGCCGCTGCTCGTAAATGCTGTCGCTGTCGCCGCTCGCGCCTCCCACTGCTTGTCGCTCCCGCTCCCTTTCTAGCTGCCGCTGCTGTTGCCGCTACCGTTGCTCGCCGCTCGCCGCTGCCGCTGTCGCTGTCGCCGCTCGCCGCTGCTTCCTCGTTTCTCAGTCAGTAGGCTCAATATACAGTATACTGTTAATATTAAGTTTATTTGAAATGATTAATTTTCAATACTGTTAATAGATTTTCTTAATTTAATAACATATTTTTATTTAAAATTTTAAATAATTATATTTATTAATTATATTATATATTTTTATATTTTAGCGCCTCGCTTCGCTCGGGCGAGCGCCTAGCGCCTCGGGCGTTTTTGGACCTTGGCGCCTAGCGCTTTTTAAATCACTGTTGAAATAAAATAATTAAAAAGGACAAAGGATTGTGAGAAACAATATAGACATGGAGTGTAAACTTTCTGCAACTCAATTTCAGTTTTCAAATTCAAAACAATATAGACATGATTGGCATTGATATCGTCCTTATTTCACTAGCCTTTTCTTTTCCATCATCAGTTAGATTACTCTTCTGCTACCTTTTTTGTTACAATCTATTAGCTTTTTTTACACAAAAGCATTTTCATACATGTGAGATCATTGATGGAACTCAGAACTGAACCAAATTGATCATCTACTAAAAAAATAAAATGTATTTAAAATTAAATCTAACCCCTATAAATAAGAGAGAGATAAATAGGAACATTGACAACAAATCATATCCTTTATTATTGTCCCACTTATGGCAACAAATATCAGGTTACAGTGTATCCTAAATTTTGTGTTCTATGTTAAAATAATGAATCAAACCATGCTGATTTTGACAGAGGTGTTTGATAGATTAGATAATGTGGATCATTCTTTCCCTAGCATGTGTAAAGCTTATCTAAGTACTTGATGTTGTTAGGATAAATTACCTTGAAGAATTTCATAATTTTTTCCATGGAGCTTTAAGTCTCAAGAAGTACTCCAAGATTTTTAGAGCTAATAATAGCCTACTGTTGTTTTAAATTGTGCCTGTGAGATTATGTTCATATCATCCTTCTTTGAAGCATACCTCTTAAAGAAAAATGAAGTGCTTCAAGATATAGTTGGATTAACTTCTTCCGGTTGCTAAAGTTATGTATGAGCATGGATTTTAGAATACTCCATGGCCAAGCCAACTTGTACTCACTTGGAAAGGCTATCTTGGCATTAGTCTAGCAATGCAAGACTTGTTTTCTAGCATGTTACTTGTAGCCACTTGTGTTCTAGCATATCTCTATATGTGGCATTTATCTAGGTATTACACATTCATGTAACAAGTGAACAAAGTCATTTGATGGTGATTTAATTAGTTAGAACTTAAAAGAGATTATATTACGAGTGATTCTTTTAACTTCTGAAATTGGGTCTATTGTTTATTCAATCCTTCATCTGTTACTCATTACATGACATCCCAAGACACTCGATATGTGCTTGAAGCATCAGTTGAATTATCCAGCAGTCACTTACCATTTATATGATACTGACATATAGATAAGCGACTAGTGTATCCCACTAGCAAAATATTTTTCATCTGTTATAATGTTATTTTCTTTTTATAAATACCATGATCTGCCATTGGGGTCGGTTGGATGATCGATCTGTGGTTAATGTCTCTACCTACTAAATCATTATGTCTGAGGAAGTTCAAAAACATGATAATACGTATTATAAATTCTGGCAGATCTCTTCATCTATGGGACGTTCCTTCAATCTTGTTCATAAAATTTTTGAGCAGTTAGTTTTCATTTCTTGAAGTGGCTTTTTTCATTGAGCTATAGCTGCATAGTTAGATGCTTTTTATTTTAAAATAAATTTGATTTTATTTATTGATTATTAGACTTATTGTCCATTCTGACTTAAGGTGTCCATATGTTTATCTTTCTTTAAGATCATCCTAAACTGGAGGATGATTAGATCTAATTTAACTCCTGTGCTAGTGGATTAAGTATTAAATAGTTTTTTCCTTTTTTCTTGGCTAAAATTGTCTTTATATATGTAATTTGGGTTAAAGCAGGATATATTTGTCGTAGAATTTTGTATTAATCCTTTAATATAAATATTTGCAGACCACACAGGAATCTGATATACGAGCCAATTTCATCTTAGATTCTAGTCTGGATCAATCATCCAGTGAGGCAAAATATTCCAGCATTACTCAGTCAAGGGGAGAGAGTGCTTCAGAAATGGATGAAGAATCACCTTTGTCAAAAAAAAAAGTGAAATTAGGCGACTTGCCTCCTGAATTTATCAAACAAATGTCATCTTCTGGACAAAAGCATCTGTTACCTTCTGAGGTTTAAGCTACCTTTCAGTTTTTAACATGTCTTCCTATGTATTTGTTTTAGTGCAGTACTAATTGGATATTTTTCTGTCTTTTGATAACCTCAGGTGGAATTTATTTTAAACAACTTGTGGAAAAATGAGGCAAATCTCTGCATGCTTATATCCGACATTCACTGTAAAAACCTGAGTATCTCTCGAGGGAACAAAGGGTTTGCAATGTTTTTCCTGAAGACTCTTCTTATTCCACCGAGCAAGTTCCGTCCTGCTGCTGGGAGTTCTGGTCGTGGGGTAAGAAATCCTATGTCTTTTGTTACATTCTAATATCTTGTTTGGTTTTGGTTTTGCACCTAACAATAAACTTAAAATTGCATGGACTTAAGAAAATGTGGTTATAACTTTTGCACAATATGTGCTTTCAAAAACTTGGGATAAAACTGTTGTGTTGAACAGTCACTTATTTTGTAATGAGCATCTGAAATCTGTAATGTGTTTCTAGCACTGCTGACAATATCTGTGCAAATTCATAATGTGGATTTGGTACCGGTGCAGGATCTGTGGAAAAGCTCATCTTTTTCCACTTATAATCAAGGATTGCCTCACTTTCCCCTTGTTGGTGCTTGGCCGGATTATTATGGTACATCAGTAGGGTTGGTGCACCAACCGGTACAGAAACTGTGCTGTTGGGGAAAAAATGTCAAAAACGAAAAAAAGGATGGTGGAAGAGCAGGTGCTAAGACACAGTGCTACCGGACGAAAAAATGCAGAAAGTGAAAGAGATATGACAGGGAAGGATGGGGGAGCATACAGTTATGTTAGGGACTTAGGGTAGTGTTCCAAAGGATGGGAGAGAGAAACATAGTACAAAATTAAACTCTTATGGGCTGGGTGGATTTCAATTTACTTATTTGGAACTAAACACAATATAGTAATATATTGTAGTCTGCTCTCTCATCCATGGTTGAATTAGGATATGCTGTTCGGTACGGGTGGTACACTGCTGAGACTCCAGAGCTTCAATGGGATCTGGCGATCTTTCCAGAGCTTCAATGGGATCTGGATTTGGGAATTGGCGGGCTCTTCATTGCTGGTATAGGCTGACATGTCATTTATACATGACATCTCAAAATGTACCTTGCTGAATTGACCTAAATTGTGTTCTTGTGATGGCCCAGGTACCTGATCTAGGGTTGACTAGGCCTTAATAATGCTCGGGTTTATTGAAGAGGGTTAGGTTCAGGTTACATTGTAAACAACTTCATGGTACAGCTTTAATTTCTGGCTTTCTATTTACACTTTGAAGTTACTTCATATTAATTGAGAGAGTTTTGCAAGGAATGATGGATGAAAAATAATTTGACTTGTCTAGATTTTTTATGCTGTTTGTTTGAAAAGTAGTAGGTGACAAAAAAGTTGGCCTAAACTATTATGTAAAAAATTTAGGCCATGACAAAGTTATTATGTGATTAGAGCTTTTGATCCGTTTAGGTGTGCTTCTAAAAAGCTAATACCAGCACATTTGTTTAGATGTTTACATACTTAAAAAAGCTACCAGCACTTTCAATCTTTTGATCTTTTTTTATTGCGTTCTCAAGTGCGTACCTAAGCCTAAAGTTTTTGCTTAGTTGTTCAGAAACTACCAGCAACGTCAGCTTCCTTATCCTGATCCTGATCTTTTCATGTACTGTTTCAAATTGATAGTTGTAACTTCTTTACTTTTCAAGTCTTGCTGTTATGTAGGTACTGGAACATCCACAAAATACTTTGCTGAGTAAAGTTCAACAAGCCAATATTGCTTTAAAGAATTGTATTGTTGCTAATCCTGATCATCCTGATATTTTGAGGAGCTGGATGGACCTTCAAAAATGTGTGAATGTGTTGTTTGATAGCACCAAGGGCTTTGGTATGACATTTTTATCAACTTTTGATTGCATTTTCTTATGTTTGTTGTTGAATTCCTTTTTTGGTAGTGAAAAGATGGCATAAATGATACAGAGATGGCAATCTTCTTGATAGATATTTTGCTGTGGGTTTTATGCTGCATACAAAATTTATGTCAGGTCATGCATCAAAACTTGCGAATTTTTCCCCCTTTGTAGAATGATTTTGCTTTATTAGTATCAGTAAATTATAAAATCATATATTCTGGTACCCAATACAACACTCCCATTTTACAGTTTATAGCTAACAAACTAATGTACGTGCCTTGTACTTGGCAGTGGACCTAACTAATTCGTGTTGGCAATTAAATGTCCTTCATTGGCCATGAGAGACAAAATAAATACACCATAAATGCAATAAATTATTTAGGACAGTAATATGCTGATATAGATTGGTATGATGTGGGAAGGATATAGATGACTTGGAAGGCACTTTCTCTTAAACTAGATGGATATGGAAACACATTAGTAATTTAGAACATAACAGGAACATAATATTTAATTACAACAATTATGGAATATATGTTATATGTTTAGCTAACTTGATTCAACCTCACTTGAATCAGCCTCACCTTGCCTTCTTTTGTGTTAGAACAAGAAGTTTATTCACTTATTATTTTCATATAAAGTTGCTCATTTATGTCTTTTAAGTATGATTCTGAAACTTGATTGCGTGTCATTCAGGTGGGCATATTTTCCTTGCCCGAATTAGAGGCCACATATTATTTTATCTTTCCTGTTTTGAAAATTATTTATGCATTGTATGGCATTCATCAGTTCTCTTGTGGATGTCGAATCATTGTTATCTTATCATATATGTCATCTTAATGGCAGCAAAAAGCGACAAGGAAGCAAGTGGCATACGCCAACTGTTGGAGAAGAAGTCGGGTATTCTACGACAGAAAATGATGGGAAAGAGGGTTAATTTTGCTTGTCGGTCTGTTATATCTCCAGATCCCTACTTAGCTGTCAATGAAATAGGGATTCCTCCTTATTTTTCATTGAGGTTGACATATCCTGAGGTAAATCTTGTAAAATAGATTAAAGATATGATTTCGTGACTTATTTTGTTGATTCTTTCTTGTTTGCGTGCACATGTGCATAAGACTGCACTTGATGTTAATTTTTTTTTAAACTTATACATGTTAGAGGAGTTATTACTCCGGGTTCATGTTCAAAACTGCACTGCAGGTGTCATGTTGTTTTTTATTTAATATTGATGTTTGGATATTACTTTGGCATCATTTGTCACGCCTTTTTGTTAATCTGGAAGGTGGCCTATCGAATTTGTCTAAGTAGAGTCGAAGCTATAGGGACTCTATTTCTGGATTTTGTTTCCTAAGAGATAATCATATAAATGTGCATATACATAAAACTGAATTTCATCTTATTTTTCTCATTGTACTAAGGTTAAGCATAATTATCAATTTTTGATGTGCTTATCATTTACTGTTGTTATTGTTTTGTCCTTCACACTATCATTTTAATTATTGATATTATTTCATTATTATACCAAATATTTTTGTCTGCAGAGAGTGACACCCTGGAATGTTAATAAACTGCGGTGTGCTATAATCAATGGTGCTGATATTCATCCAGGAGCTACACATTATAAGGACAAGGAAAGAATGTATAAATTACAAGCAAGCCAAAATATGCGGAGTGCAATTTCAAGAAAGTTGCCCACATCTAGAGGAATGACTGCCCAACTTGGAACGGGCCCAGAATCAGAATTTGAAGGCAAGGTTGTGTATCGCCATTTGCAGGATGGAGATATTGTGCTTGTTAATCGACAGGTAATCAACATGTTGCCTATTGTTTTCTTCAACAATTGTGTTTTTTCGAATGGAGTTTGAAGTAAAATGATGGCCACTGGTGATTACATCTTGTGGTGGAACTCTTTTTCTTTTTTGATTTGTCTTTTCATTTTATTGATGATCTGATGTCTGATAGACAGATTAGTTTTTTGGTTACTAATATCTGATTGTCTCCTTGTGATACTAATTGTCAATCAGGCATTTATGCTGCAAGAGCATGAGTCTAGCATTTTGACATTTTCATAATGTTGAAGGAGCATCTGTTCCCATATTAACATCCAAAATGTCAAAACATATTTTAAATTTTAAGCAATTCATTGTAAGTCCATTGGTAATTATTCCATATTTCTCTGACTTTTGAGAGCGAGCCTTTGTGCAATTTTCAGATTGCTCAGCTTTACACGCACTACTCAGGATTGCAATGATCTGTTTTGGATAGCTGAAGAATGTGTACTGAATGAGGACAAATCAATGCACATTGTCCAACAACTTGTGACTTGGGCAACTAGTTTGTCCAGAACAACGTGGCATTTAAAATAGGAATTTGCATTCATATCCTTACAAAAGTATAAGTGATGTGTATCACTTGACAGAACTTTTCAATGTCTGTAAGCCTAAAAAAAAAAATGTTTGATAGGAATTAAACTTAAAAGGAGCTGTCCATGACATGTAGCTTGGCAGAATTTGAGTTGAAAAGATGTTACAAATTGATGAGTTTAAGGAATTGTGCACCGAGTTCATGACAGTTGTGGAATGGAACAGTATGTGGTTTGTGTAAGTGGCAATTGTTCAGAGAATGAAACTCAGTCAACTTGTGAGGAATGATGATGTCCCAATCAACTGAACTACCTTGAAGGAACTTTGAATACTAAAGATTGGCCCTCTAAGCATACCTTCACCCAAGGAATGTTGTGTGAGTCAGTTTCTATATACAGGATTCATCAACTTTGATATCCATGGTAGGTAGACGCATTGTACAATATCTTATAACTTTCTAAGGAAATGCATACATGCTAGGTTTCACATTAAGCATCTTTTGCTCCTATGACTCCGTTGAATCTTTTTATAGTTCAAAGTTTGGTTGTTTAACTCAGCAATGGATAATTGTACTTCTGCTAGCTTCTGTTTGGGTTTGATCCGAGCTTATGACACTTTTTCTATTTGTCAATGATAATTGTTCTTTTTCATTTGCTTAAAGTTAATATTGCTAAGATAGCTAGTATTCTTGTCTTGCATAAAATGTGAAATTGGTTCATGAGGTTCCAGGCTGACAGCTATGTATAGGGATTTTTTTTTTGTTCTATGTTTTTTAAGTCTTGTAACTAGTATCATGTCCTTGCTTGTCTGGTATGGTGGTACTTTAATTATTGTTACATGATGTGGACTTCCTCAAATGATTGTGATGTTAAACTGATCTATTCACTTTAGAAGTTATGAGTTTGATTCTAAATACAGCCTTTGCTTTCTACATCACCATAAATGAACATTGAATGTGATCGAAATCCATGCCAATGGAAACACTTATACTGATTTGATTTGTAGCTAGAGCTTATTTGTTGGTGAAAGGCTCTAGAAAATTGAATTGGGTGACCATAAGCGGGTCCGCATTGAAACTAGAGAAGTTAGAATTGTTATTACCACATGGGCCTCCATTGTCATTCTTGTCAGTTTATAATGTTATAAATTAATTAAAGTGGATTTACTAATAATCCTTTGAATCATGGTTTACCTTAAAGGTCCATATCGGTATATCGACCAACTGTCGGTACAATATGTATTGATCCGTACCAACATACCGACACATGATATAGTGGGGCATACTGATAGACCGGTATGTACCGCTTGTATCAATCCCCTATCAGATTGGTATGTATCGCTCAGTATGGTTCGACGAATCTTGTTTTGAATAATCTGAACAAAAGTATGATGTTCAACTAAATTATGTATTTTTTTCTTAGGAGCATGATCTATTTTATAATTCCAAAATTTTTATTGAGTCATGATTTTTTTTAAAAATTTTGCAGCCTACCCTTCACAAGCCCAGTATGATGGCTCATGTTGTTCGTGTGTTGAAAGGAGAAAAGACACTTCGCATGCACTATGCAAATTGCAGGTTCTATATCATTTTTATTTGTGTTTGCATTTTTTTTGGTTAGCTTGGAGTTCAACAAAGAATGATATATTCTTGTGTTTGCAGCACATATAATGCTGATTTTGATGGTGATGAAATGAATGTACACCTCCCACAAGATGAAATTTCACGTGCCGAAGCCATTAACATTGTTAATGCGAACAAACAATATATTGTTCCCACTAGTGGGCACCCTATAAGGGGGCTAATTCAGGTAAAGTGATTTGAAGATTAATTTTAATTTTTTTCAGTCTCAAACTCTTGATGATGTATTTAGGTTTTATATATATATAAGGTTTTTAATAGTGTCAAATATCTGCCTGTGGTTGATTCTTCAGGATCATATCGTAAGTGCTGTACTTCTGACAAAGATGGACACTTTTTTGACCCGTGAAGAGTATCATCAGCTTTTATATGCTTCCAGTGTCCCTCCTACTTCATATTCTCAACGTAATAGATTTGGCCAAAAGGTTTCAGTGTCATGGTCTGATTATGAGATACAGCCTCTTCCCCCTGCTATTTGGAAGCCAACACCACTATGGACAGGAAAACAGGTTGTGTTTCCTTTTAGGCTGCTTAACATGAGTCCTTTGCTGTCTAAAATGTAAAATGATCTGAAGACTTTACATCCAACTTTTGCTGATGATTTTTGTAATTTTATAGGTTATTACTGCAATCCTTAACTTTGTTACTAGAGGTCGCTTGCCACTTACTATTGAAAAAAGAGGAAGAATACAAAAAGAGTATATCGGGGAGGATCATACTTTACTTGTGTTGCATATTCACAACAATGAGCTCGTACATGGAATGATTGACAAGGCACAGTTTGGAACTTATGGTTTAGTCCATGCAGTCCATGAACTATATGGTCCAGATGTTGCGGGAACGTTGCTTTCTGTATTTAGTCGCTTATTTACTTCTTTTCTTCAGGTTAATTTTGCTTAGCTATTATCAAAGTTTTGGTACTTTTTTTCTTTCTTGTATTGTGGGCATATATAAATGACATTCTGATTTCAGATTCATGGGTTCACTTGCGGAGTAGACGACCTTCTACTCAGTCAGAAATCAGATATTGAGAGAGAGAGAATATTAAAGAAAAGTGAAATACAAAGTGGAGAGGTCCATATGCGTTTTACCAGAACTAAAGATGGTGATGGAGGTTTGTTCTAAATAATCATCTATGATCTAACACTGTATTCATGTTGCATATTTGGTCGAGAAGGTGTCTGTCACATAATTCCATGTATGGTTATCTTCACATTAATTTTTTTCTTAGTCTCTCTCCTAGAGATTCATATTTTACATATGTTTCTTCTCTCGTTTAAATTTAATGTATTGCCTTCTTCATTTTCCTCTTTCTGTGCTTGGATTAATGCACCTTCTAGATGTTTTCTTTCTCTAGAGGAAATAAGAAAGATTAAATTTACAGTCTGAAAAATTATAGCCTTTTCCCTAATCATTTATATTTTGTAATTTGTCATGCACCCTTATTCATAGATCAATCAACTTAAATCAGTGTATTTTAATGCTAAAATGAAAGATTTTGCGTCCTATTTAAATTTTGTTTATGCTCGATACCTTTAAAGTTTCCGAAGTTTGCTTGTTTATATTTTTTTATTTTTGGCTAAAACCAAAGAGATTTTGATGTATTTTGATAAATGTATAATTTTTAAAAGATAAAAGCTGAACTGAGATTTTAATTTTGTTGGGTTTGGAGATAATATTTGCTTTGTGCAATGATTCCAGGAGTTTGATATCATTTAGAGATAGTTATAGTAGTGTTCTCTTTAAAGTTTAAATATCTTAATTCATGCTCCTCTCGTATTATTGTCTTTGCATGTATAGATCCAATGAAATTGCAAAGGGAGATTGAGAAAGTTCTACGTGGTAATGGAGATTCAGCAACTGCCTTATTGGACAGGATGATGTCAAATTCTCTGAATAGTCTGACTTCTGAAATAAATCAGACCCTATTTCCTAATGGATTGTTGAAGCCATTCTTGAAGAACTGTCTCTCTCTTATGACCACTACTGGAGCTAAAGGTGGCTTGGTAAGTTCTTGTCACATTCTCTCCTTATTAATTTGTTAACTAGCTTAAACAAATCAATGTATGCCAATGTTCTTTATATGCTAGAAACTTTCTTTCATATGCAATTTGTATGTGGTTCTAGTCGTATTGTGGTGATCTTGAACACTGAATAAATAGGACTTTTATTATAGTTTCTGTGTTTGAAATAAAAATGATGTGGAACTATGTTTTTCTCTTTCTGTCACCAAGCAACACAATTTGGTTTTATAGTGGGTGTTGAAGAGCGCAAGTCCTACAGATGTTATTTCTGGAGCATATGTGGCAAGTGATTCGGAGTCTCCATGTCTAGTAGCTGGGACTTGTGCTTCTTTGTCTCGGAAAACAAAGCTTGAGTTCTGAATTGAGACAACCTTTTTCTTCTTTTTGTTGCAAGAGATGCATTGGTGGTGGCCAAGATTTGTGGCTTCTATGTCACGTTAACTTGAAGTAATAACAATTTTATCACTTGGTAGTATTTTTGCATGTCAATATTGTGTTATCCATGTCTTATGGTCTATGGTTTACCATATTTTCTTAACTCCTTTATTGGTAGCTGGCATGTTAGACAATCAAGGTTTTTCACTTGTTATTTTAACATCTCAGTGTTGCTGGGCTGCGTGTTGACCAGCATGAGCAGTAGATGAAAAAAAAAAGAAGTTTCTATCTTCTTTTTCTGATGTACCATCATGATGGTGAATCATGAAGGGGAAACTTGTGGACCCTAGCATTTAGCTTTCTAAGCCATTTGTGAAGTGATCCGAGTTAACATTGGACATTAGGTCATATGGTCAGTTTGATTGCACTGCACTTGCAAATAAAGTGGAAAGGCTGGTGTCTTTCCACTTGAATTTGGGTTTACTTTCAATGTTATGTGGGTGCCATAGATCTAAACAGATAAAAGAAAAGTGTTGATAAGCAAACATGTGGGCAAATTACCAGCCTCACCTCACAGAGGCACTTGAATTTGGGTTTACTTCTAATCACAGAGGCACTCGGCTCGCAGCACCCCTCGTCGATCTAAGATATGTTGAAGTTTACTTCTATGTGTTTCTTTCCTTTATTTTAAGTTTACATTGACCTTTATATTATTGCTGAATTTGTTCATATATTTGATCTTAGTCCTAGTTAGTTGAAGTTTCAAGTTATTCTGTGTATGCACAAGTTTAGCAAGACACACCAATTGAAACAATATTATAAGCAAACAGTGTATATTATGAAAGGTTTTGCTGTAACCATCATTTCAAAGAGGAAACCAATTAGAGTTGATCCTTTATGCAGACCTATAGGGTTAGCTTTGAGTACTTATCTTGTTGTACTGGTAATGGATATAATTATAATGCATATTCAGGATAAACTTCCATGTGCATGTTGTGATTTGAGTTTGTCTTGAATGTATAATAAGTTCATCCATCACCTGTGCAAGAAAATAAGCACATTGCTATATTTAATATTATGGTAAACCTAGTTTATAATTTGAATATCTATCCTAAATATGTAGTTTGCTAAGGGCTATTCCTGTATTCAGTAACAATTATTGTCTCGTGGATCTGGGTTTTGAAGCAAAATTATGAAGATATTGATTATCTAGCATCAAAACGAACATGTATGCTCGAACATACATCTTTCTCTTGGGATTGGAATCTGCAAAATGTTATTTGTTATTCTTGCATTAGTTTTTGATCCTTAATTACTTGCCTCATATTTCACTAGTATGAGCGGAAACATGGAGCTTAGTCTACACTCTACAGTATGTCTGGAATGCAGAAAAAGAGATTTTCTTTCCCAATATGCAAAAATTTATTCCTTAATTCTGTACCAGTTATCATCTTTTACTGACCATCTGAATATTCTAAAAAACTTGCAAGTTATTTGATCTGGAATATGGTTGGTAATTGCAATTTCGTTCCCCTTCTTTGTAGGTCAATATGACACAAATTTCTTCTTTGTTGGGCCAACAAGAGTTGGAAGGAAAACGAGTACCACGTATGGTCTCTGGAAAAACATTGCCCTGCTTTCCTCCTTGGGATATTTCAAGTCGTGCAGGAGGCTTCATTAGTGATCGTTTTTTAACTGGTCTTCGGCCTCAAGAATATTATTTTCACTGCATGGCTGGACGTGATGGGTATATAGTGAATTTTGTACCTTATGCAGTTCAATTCAGTCATTATTAGATGTATCTTAGCTTTTTTTTGTTATATTGCGTCTTAGAATACCTGTCTATATATGTGCACATCAGTTAATGAATGTATGCGTGGATGCCATACTTGTATATCTTATGCTTTTTTTGTATATATTAGTTAACTCATGAGCGTTAATTTGTCAAAAAGCCTGTATCTGTCAGTGTCAATTTCTTGAACTCTTCTAGCATGTCGACTAACATGAAGTAAGTGCAGATTGGTTGATACAGCTATTAAAACATCTCGGAGTGGATACTTGCAGCGGTGTATTATTAAAAATCTTGAGTGTTTAAAAGTTTCTTATGATCACACAGTACGTGATGCTGATGGGTCGGTTATCCAATTTATATATGGGGAAGATGGTATTGACGTTCTTAAGGCGAGCCATATTTCTGAATTTAAAATGCTTTTGGATGTAAGGCTGTTAATTTTGTAAATTGTTATCTTGATTTTTGTGCTCTATCTGAAATATCATGATCATCATTTCAGAATCAGAAGGTTGTTTTGCAAAAATTCAGTGATCAAATTTCAGACACATCTTTGGCAAAGTCAAATGCTTATATTAGGGAGTTGCCATGTTCCTTAAGAGACAAAGCAACTGATTTTATTTTGAAGAATCAGAAGAGCTTTCCTCATCAGATAAATCAGAAGGACTTTATGAAATTAATGAAGCTCAAGTACCTATCAAGTCTTGCTGAGCCTGGTGAGGCTGTTGGTGTTGTTGCCGCTCAATCTGTTGGGGAACCATCAACACAGATGACGTGAGACATCTAACTTTTTCTAATACGTGTTTTCTGATAACTCTTATGCCTATCAACTTTTTACTTCTATGGGATATTAAATTTAGCAGTGACATTCTTAATTTTTTCCAGTCCTTGAAAGTTTGTAATGGAATGATGAGATATGTTGGTGATATTGTACTTCCTTTGAACATGATGCTAAGTTAAGCTGATTGGCTGAGGTTGTTGCATTTGACTTAAGTATACAAGTGTCCAAAGAATTTGGTCAAGTTCTCTATTTGCTAGGTACTTGGAAAAACCATAAGAATTTTAGAATATTGTTTGATATATGTAAAGTCTTTGCCTAGTTATGTTTTGCTGAAGGGTTGAAGTAATATGATATCTGATAGTTTCATCTGAATGAGTTAGTCTGATTTTAGAGAGCACAATCTTGTAAATCTGCCCTGCTGGTGGTATTATTTATTTTGTGTCAAAATCTTGTAAATTTGCCTTGCACAGCCTTCATGACATTTTCCGAGAGACTAAACTAAGGATACATGTTTTGTAATGTAGTGTAGATCTGTTTTATGTGTCATTTGATATAAGACGTTAATATTTTGTGCAATAATATATTTGGGTAACTATTTTGTACTAGGAGACTAGGTTTTATTGCTGACTTCTTTATTTAAGTTAGTTTGGAGAATGATTTCTTTATGATTAAGGAAAGCTTTCTGAAATGTTGTCTATCAAATCATGATATTTACAATGTTTTTTTTCTTTGTTTGCCATCAAGGCTTCTTTACTATGTAGGTGGAGAATGAATTTAAAATGTTTTGGCTCAGTGTACTTCGTAAAATATCATGTACTTATATAATATTGATTCATGTGTGCCTTGGCTAATTAAACACTAGCAACAAGATAATTTACTTCATGCTTGTCTCTTCCTTTGTTTTCCTTTCCTCTTAGAAAATATAGAATTATCTTTCAAGATAGGCCCCTGATATCTTTATAAATTTATTTTGCTATGCACTATTAAAATAGATGATAAACTACCTGTGCTGTCTTATGCTCGTACTTGTTCATCTTGAACAATTCTACTTGCATCTTATGAGAAAACTGTTTGTTTTGGTTATCAGAAGCTATATTTCTGTTTCAGTGCTATACATTCTTATCAGTATCAGATGATTGCAATTTAACGTTTTAGTAGATTCTGTTTTTCAGGCTTAATACTTTTCATTTGGCTGGCAAGGGAGATATGAATGTTACACTGGGAATACCACGTTTACAAGAAATCTTGATGACTGCATCGAAGGATATTCGGACTCCTCTCATGAACTGTCCGTTGCATGTTTGGAAGACCAAGTAAGTGAAGGATTTAATTCATTGTGTCCTGAAAGAAATCATGTATGTGCACAAACAATGAAAATCATTTTTTTAAAATTAAATCTTCATGTTATTATTTTCCTGAAAGCTTTCTGGACTCTGATCACTTTTACATTATGTTCTATATCTTGCAGGGATGATGCCGAACGCCTTGCTGCAAAGTTAAGGAGGGTTTCTTTGGCTGATGTTGTGGAGAGAATGGAGGTCTGCACTGTACCATTTTCCATTCATGGGAATCAGATCTCAACCATCTATAAGCTAAAGATGACCCTTTATCCAAGTGAGCTCTATCCTGCCTTTTCAGAATTAACATTAGAAGACTGCAAAGAAGTTCTCGAGACGACATTTGTTGAGGCCATGGAAGATGCCATCGCAAAACACTTGGATATGATATTCAGGATCAGTGACATTAAGGTTGCTTCTGGCAAGGAAGATAATGATTTCGAAGAAGGGGTTGATGAAGATGAATCTAGAAATAAATCAAACACGGTGGAAGAAAATGTTGATGGTGGTGATGAGGATTATGAAAGTCTTGATGATCAAGGAACAGATTCTAGGAGGAGAAAACAGCAAGCAAATGATGAAGTAGAATATGATGATGGTATTGAAAAAGAGAGCTTTGTTGCAGCAGGCGAACATGATGAAGAAATGCAATCAGGATTTGAAAGTGAAATTGATCATGTTGAAGCAGACGAGGATTATCTTATGGGAGGGGGAAGTCCTGGGTTTGACATGGACATTGCAACACCTGAGAGCCCATCAAAAGCTGACTCTACTCCCGTGTCAGAAGATGGCAAGAAAAAGTCAAAACTTACGGAGAAAGGCAAGAAGGAAACTAAGTCAAAGGCCGATAAGAAGGCCAAGAAGCCGAAAAGTAGCAAGAAAAAGATCAGGAGAACAATATACATGATGGCTGAAGGATTGAAATTTGAGGTTCACTACATCTTCAGAAGTGAACCACGAATTTTGCTGGCCGAGGTACTTTTCCTGCTAGTAATAACAAAGAAAGCTTTATATGCTTGGACTTCTTCCTGCATATGGTTGTTTGTAGCAATGCATGCTTAATTTTCTGTATCTATTTATTTCTGGATGAATAGTAGAAATTTTTTCTTAACCCTATATTTCACATATTGATAATATTACGTTGTGAAATGAATAATTTAGTTTTTAAGATGATGATGTACTAGAATCTGCTTAGGCAAATGCTTACTTCGTTGGGTTTCGACTGATCAAATTTTTTAATGCAGATTGCACAGAGAACAGCCAAGCGTGTATATGTAAAGGAGTATAAGAATATTGAAAGGTGTTCATTGAAAGAAAATAAAAAGAGTACTGATCCATTCATGCTGCAGATTGCCGGAGTGAATTTCAGCACACTTTGGGATTTGGAGGAATTTTTAGATATCATTCACATATATTCAAATGATATACATGCAATGCTTAATACCTATGGTGTGGAAGCAGCACGAGCAACCATTATTAAAGAGGTTACAGATGTGTTTGGATTATATGGTATACAAGTAAATATCCGACACCTCAGCCTTATTGCAGATTTTATGACTTTTCATGGAGGGTATCGGCCCATGAACAGGGTTGGAATGGGTGATTTCAACACCTCACCGTTTGGCAAGATGACATTTGAGACAGCAACTAAATTCATTATTGAATCAGCTTTCCATGGAGAGGTGGACACATTGGAGTCCCCATCAGCTAGCGTCTCCCTTGGCCAGCCAGTGAAAATGGGAACTGGCTGTTTCGACTTGATGCAGAATCTGCAGCTGTGATAATTGTGCAAATTGGTCTTGATTCTTCTTTTTTTGCTTGTATTTAGTGGGTCAAAATTCATTATATAGTATTATTGAGGGTTAGATTTTTGAAGTTTAGGTAGGCCCTTGTGCATCTGCTCCTCATCTACCAGGGTAAATTTTTGAACGAGTTGCTAATTGGCAAAGCTCGATAAGATTTTATCTTCCCATGTGGGCACCATTTTCCCCACAAGTCCCATTCAGATTTTGAGTTTTCTTTCTGATGGGTACTTGCCAGTGAGATTGAGAATTAGCTTAAATATAGATTTGTTTCAGCATCAAGCTGTCATATTTTTCTTGTAGCTGTACATGCTTTATTGAATTCATCTAATTTATTTTGTTGATGACTGGTGACTTGGCTGTGCATGATTAATTCATCTATCATGAGGTTATCTTTTACTTCTGTTCATCTTGTTCATATTAACTTTATACGTATGTAAGTATGTCTACACATCACACAGATGGCCTCCATCTTTTTTGTTGTCATGGAGTTGACTAGATACTGAGATAACTTTTCCTTGGTTATTATTGCTCTACTATCTGCTTAATCTCTCCTCTCATCTCTTGATGCTGTGGGATGATCTTTCTCGCATTCGTCTGTAAGTATTAGACACGTATACAACTGCAATTAGCTTATGATTTCATGGAGAAAATAATATACTTAAGTTCTGTGTTTAAAGATGTAAATAGGAATGATAACATATATTGTCTCTATTGAAATTTTCGAATTGATTAGTGTATTATTGTATTTGTCATTTAATATAACAAGTATTGTTTTTTAAAAATAGTAATATTTATTACTCGTGAATTTTATGCTCCTCATTAATCAAATGGGTATTGTAATTAGACTTTAATACATCTCATTATAATTTATTTTTATTTTAAACGGGTCGGATCGGGTAGACGGTAAACCCGAAATAACCGTAAATCCGCATCACAGATCCAAAACCGCAAGTTACCGAAACATGGTTTCTCTGTTGCTTCCGTATATATATCACACGCTCCGGCGGATCCTCGAACCTGCGCTTCTCCATCCCGCTTGTCGCTCGCTTCTTGCTTCTTCTCGTCATGGTGAGCTCTCCCCTTCCTCCGTCGTTCCACTCCTCCTTTTTGCTTTCTTTTCTTTGTCGATCTTTTGATACGCTTCACGTTGGTGTTCGTCGCTTCAGGATTACTACAAGAGCGTGGTTCCTTCCCAGCTGATCAACGAGCGCGGTGCCAATCTCGTCGTCATCAATCCAGGTCTCAAACCCTAGTCCTTGTCTTTTATTTCTCAAGAAGCGGCCGATCCTGAAGTTCGAAACCTTTTCCCCTTTGTTCATATCTCGAGAACGATGAGTATGCAGTATTGTTTGGAAGGGATTGTTGTATGCCTTGATTCTGTGGGTTTTTGGTAGAGCTAGGTTTCCGCAATGGTTTGGCCTTGAATTACTCGTGCCGTTAACCTTCTTTTAGGTTTTTAGGTACTAGTTGGATTCGGGAAGGCATTCGTCCCTTCAGGATGACCTTAAAACCGTGGTGGTTTTCCAATTAATCAACGACGTAAGTCATCAATCCTGGTCCCGAACCCTAATTCTGGTCTTTTATGTTTCAGGAAGTGATTTTCCTGCAGTTTGAAACCTTTTCCCCTTTGCTAATCTCTTATGAACAATGAGAATGTGGTATTGGTGGAACGGTTTGTTGTACGCCTTGATTTGGTGGATTCCTGAAAGAGCTAGGTTTTGTTGGACTTGACATAGTGGTTAGTGGCCTTGGATTATTTGTGCCGTTCATTTTTCTTCGGGTTTTAGGGTACTAGTCGGATTTGGGAAGGCATTAGTTCCTTCAGGATTACCTCAAGGTCATGGTTCTTTCCCGGCTAATCAGTGAGCATGGCTTTAAGATCTACGTCATCAATTTACATACCGAACGCTAATTCTGATATTTAATCTTACAACGTGCAGCTGGTCTCAAAGTTTGAAACCTTTCCCCTTTGCTGATACCTAAAGAATGTCAAGTATGCAATATTGTCGGAAGGGATTGTTGTGTGCCTTGATTTGGCATACTCTCGGTAGAACTAGGTTTCATTGGTTATGATGTAGTGGTCAACCTTCTCTAGGTGTTTCGGAACTAGTCCACATTCGGGAAGGCATTTATCCCTTCAGGAATCATCTCATAGCCATGATTCTTTCCCAGCTAATCAACGAGCATGGCTTCAAACTTGATGTCATCAATTTAGGTCATGAACCCTAATTTCCATCTTTTACTTTTCAAGAAGCTGCTGGTCCTGGAGTTTGAAACCTTTTCCCCTTTGCGAATATCTAAAGAAAAATAAGTATGCAATATTGTTGGAAGGGATTGTTGTATGCCCTGATTTGGTGGATTCTTGGTAGAGCCAGGTTTCATTGGTTTTGATTTAGTGGTTGGCATTGTTGAATTATTTGTGTCGTTCAACCTTCTTTAGATTCTTGGATGTCTGATGTTTCTCCCCATCTGATTTGGGTGTGTTTATCTCTTAAATGTTTATGCAAGGATCTGCAAATGTTAGAATAGGCTTTGCTAATCAGCAAGTACCATTCAACATTCCTCACTGTATAGCACGGCATGTGAAGGGTTCCGACAACAGACTGACGGGAAGTGTGCAGGATCAGGTAATGAGGTTTTGATCGATGTTGCTGTACTTAGTTAACTCTTCTCCTTCCTGTTCTTATGGTTTTTGTTTTGGTTCCAGGTGCTTAACTTGCAAGCAATTCCATCCCAACAATTGGAGCGTGAGAAGGCATATGACACTGTAATGAATGAGCTTCCAATCCATCTTCCTTTGGAATTAATCTATTGTAATAATGACCATCAAACTTAGGTAATAAGGATTGCTTGTTGTTTGCAGATTGCATCATTTTTGAAGATCCCATTTCTAGATGAAGAGGTGGAAAGCAACTCATTTCCTCGTAAGGTATGTTTGTTCTTAACTATGTGGTTTGTGTCATTTGGTGGTACTATTAACTTGCAATTTTGAAATTGACATGATGATAAGTGGATTCTGAGTACTTAACATGCATTAGCATGCTTGTAGCATCGAGTGAAATTCAGTGAGTCCATGCAACTTGTAAGTCTTATGATACAGAATGACCATCATGGAGTAATCAAAGTTGTTATAGTTAATCAAATCATCATCAAACAAAGAAATAAACAGAAGCTAAATTATGTGACCGGTCTGAGGAGGTGGCAAAAGTAGTCTGTTTGCAAGAAATTAAAAGATATAAAGATAAAAAAAGCCTGAGTTTTGATCTTAAACATCTAAAGAAAGTACTTCTTGTAAATTAACTGAGAGTATTAGGTCACTATGCTGCTATTTGCTTGATGGAGTTAAACGTGATATTGACATATTTATTGTCAGATCTTTCTTTGGAACTAAGATGGCAATGTGGAGAATTTTCACTCTGCTTATGCCAGTTTAGTTAGAATACGAAGTTAGTAAGTGGGGAATGCAAATAATTTGGTTGTAGATTGAGCTTGTCTCGTCCTTTGTGCATTTCTATTTTTCTTATTACATTCTTTTGGTACTTGTTTCACTGTGGGAAGTATGATACCTCCTACTTTACAGATACAATTTTTTTGTCGTATCTTCTCAGTTGTGGCTACTTAAACTTTGCATGTGAAGTTCCAAATTCCAAGATATTATTATGGAAAATTTTACACACAAAATTTGCTTTAAGCTTATGAGGAGATGAACAAAATCAAAGTGGAGATCTTCATATTTCTCTCTTTTCTGCTACATTAGGTCATAGTTGGATGAGTCTGGAAACTAATTTTGCAGACCTTTCAGAAGACTATATTAATATGATCCTATCATGCAGTATCTTCCTTCTCATGACTTGTTCTTACCTGTACTGCCTGTGAAATGTGTTGAACAGTTTCATGGTTATCCCTTGTATTATTTTTTAAAGTTGTTTTCTTTTGATATGCATGTGCATGCCATAAGATTGAAAGAAAGAAAAGGAGTTTAATTTGATTTTTAACAAGTGTATACTGGGAACTGAAGCTCCTAAATTCATCATGTGAGCTTATAAGATACATTATGTTGCTTTGCAGATGGGACCAGTTGACGGCTATGCTTCACACCAAAGCAGAAGTGAAACTTCATATACTTGGACAAATGTGATGGAGAAAAAGACAAACCGATCTTTGGCAGTTGATACTTCTCAAATCACACTTTCTGGTCATATTTGATTATACTGTTTTCATTCAGTTTATTTTGGTATTCCCCTAGAGAGCTAACTTTACTAGATTGATGTTTCTCATTTTATGTTCCCTCCTATTTGTTGCTCCATAGCTTCTATAGACTTCACCCAAACTAATGGGAAGTTGGTATGAAAAAATTAGTATTTTTTGTTATTCCATTTTTTTATTTGCTTTGATTAAGTGCATAGTCTCCTAGTTTGACTAAGACTAAGTACATCGTCTCTTTGAGGATATTTGCCTAATGTAAGTCACTATTAAAATATATATTTTTATTGTGACAAATTTTTTACCATTTGCTTTGACTAACTAAGTTGCTGCCTCGGTGTGCTAGTTTGAACCTTTGTATTGCTCATTGCATCACACAGAGGATTTAGCGCCTAAATAGTTTCTAGATTTCTTTTACAATTATTGTGTCATTTGCTGATAAAGTTTAGGCCAAACTTCATATGTGTGTGTGTGTGTATACTTGAACAGAGCCATCACCAAAAGAAGATACAGGAAGATTATATATATATATATATATATATATATGTCCCAAATAAGATTTTTTAAAATTATATATGATGAATAATTAAATATGTATCACAAAAATAAAAATAGTGCACTAAGTGAACCGACCTCAATATGGTAACAGTGTAACAGGGAATTCTAACTCTTTGACAGCAGGTTAATCAACCACAAACTCCTATGTTTGAACTCCTAATGTAGTAACAGACTAACAGTGCACCACCTCAATATAGTGCAATAAGTTAATCGACGAAAGTATTTTCTATAAAATGAGAGAGAGAACCGAGAAGATGGAGAAGTAAACAACAACTGTGGAGGAAGGTGGAAACCAACAACAGACAAAGCTAGAGAGGGTGGCAGATGAAGTTTTAGTGGTGGAGAAAGGCAGCGGACAAAGCAGACGGGGCTTCAGTGGTGGACGGAGCGTATGAAGCTGGCAGACAAGCAGTAGGGTGTCGCTTCTGGTTTCTTTCACTAGGTCTGGCGTCAGGGTGGGGGGCAGGGGATCACATTAGTTGGTCCAATTGAACCAACTTACTCGCCCAATCGAACCTAGACTCCAAGTTGACTTGATTTGGCTTGGGCGCTCACTTGAGCAGTGCTTCATTGAAACGCCTTCTCTGAGGTGTTGCAAGGTGCTTGGGTCTTGCTTCGTCTGAGTGCCTTTTGAAAACACTAGTACCAAGTATTATCTTTTTTTATTTTTCAAGTACCAACATGGTACGTCGTTATGGCTTAGAGCCAGTATGTGTTTGGTACCCAAAATTAAAAGCCTTGGTACTATCATCGTGATTTTTATTCTTTATCTGATGGCAAAATATGATTTTGGGGTCTTTTCTGGTTGATAAGGGAATACAAGCTTAATTGCCTGAAAAGAAGTATGGTGGCCAATAGGGTGGAAAAGTTAGGGGTTTAAAACTTCGAAGAAGATGATACCACACTTTGTAGAAATTGGTGGTTGATAAGTATATATGATTAAGAGGGTAGCCAAGGTGGTTCCTTGGAATCTAAGGTGAGGTGTTGCATCAAAGGAGAGCCGGTGGTGGTGAGATGAACGTTCAAAAAGCAATTGTTACCAAGAGAAGGTCTTCTGCAATTCAAATTAATAAAAGAGTTTTTTTTGTTGTTGTTGTTGTTGTTGTGGTGTTCTGAACAGATGAATGTGTCAGGTTCACTGGTAGATGGTGTGTCCTTATTCGTGTCATTTTTTGTTGTAAGATTGCATTTGCTTTCTTTTTCCCTTCTTTATTTTAAATGAGCTTATCAATGGTTTTGATTTTTCCAGAAAGAGCAGAGGACAAGGATGCTGAATGTGAACCCTCAAATTCTAAAGCTGATGATGATGGAGAGTCCCCTCCTGAAGAGTTTATGTTCAAGGAGTTCATATGTGGGGAAGAAGCCCTGAAAATTTCTTCTGTGGAGCCATATTGTTTAAGTCATCCTATAAGACGTGGCCATTTTAATGTTTCACAGCATTATCCTTTACAGCAGGTAGTTATCATCATCCCATAAGACATGGCCATTTTAATGTTTCACAGCATCATCCTTTACAGCATGAAGTTACTGTTATCCTATAAGACTTGGCCATTTTTTTCTGCCATAATTGATGTGTTAAGATGGCTACCACACATTTTCAGCATCTTAAAAATTGGTACAAAAACTCTTTTTCATGTATTTTGATTGGGTAGTTGATAGAAATTAAACTAGGATACATGCTCCATATATATTATTTAGAACATTTTGACTAGCGGATCCAAATATTATCTTTGTCGATGAAGAAGAAAAGACTATGCAGATGCAACAAAGTGATAACCAGCTGCTAGTTTGGAACAGATAAACCTCGAAGTCAGTCAGTGCAAACTAAAGACCAGAGTCAAGTTACATTGATTAACATTAAGAATATTTGAGGCCTTCAATAAATTATTGAAACTGAAGGCTCTACCATCTAAACCACATCATTCAAGCCAGACCATTATGACCCAAAGAGTTTCCAACAGATTTTTTTTTTAAGCATTTGTTGGTGTTTATATATGTCAAAGATCTAGTGTGATTCAAAATATTATAAATTTAAATAATGATTCATTAAAAGGGCTTTATTTTGCTGCAGGTCTTGGAAGATTTACATGATATTTGGAATTGGATATTAACCGAAAAACTTCATCTTCCTTCAGGAGAGAGAAACTTATACTCTGCCATTCTTGTTTTGCCAGAAACATTTGACAACCGTGGTATGTATCTGATTTGTGTTATTTTTTGTTATGATCAATTGGTGTAGAGGACATGCTTATCAAATTGGAGCCTTTTGATGGGTATGGGTAACCACTATGTTGCTTCTCTCTCTCTCTCTTTGCATGCTTCCCAACACTAAAATTTATTTAGACATATGTACTGGGAACATGAACAACAAAGGCATAAATTTCTAACAATTTGGGGTTGACCTCACGTCCTTCATGACGCCAAGCCCAACGTGCCCACTTGTCACCACGAGGACAGGGGGCAACGATGGGATGACCCTCGTATGTAATGGGAATGGGTAACCATGAATTTCATGAGCCACATGTCGCTTTCCCATTTTATTATAATGTGTTACTATATATTATCTTGCATGTGTATGCTTTTAATTGTTCCAAGCCCTTGTTCTGGATAGAAAATGTCTTGCTTAATCTTTCACAAGCTCAGATTATATCATGTAATTGCCAAAAGCATGATAAGGAACTTCACAATATGTACAATTGTACATATAGTGGTTTCTGTGTTGTTCAGATGTCTTGCATGATATAAGATAGTCTCAATGCTTAACATGATGAAAAATAATCTCAATGTAGTTGGCATGACTCGTATCGACTTTGGTAGGCTAGTTTCTTTGGAAGTTGCTTCTTGTACAACTTTGTTTTGTTTAAAATTTTTAACCTTTAAATCAGCAAATAAAAGCAAGATAATATTGTGTGCATTTACTTTTGTAAACATTAAAAATTCTTGATTTGTCCCTCTTTTTCTGTTAGTGATGCCAATGTTTGTTTTAGCTATTTTGTACTGAGAGCTTCAATATTGGAAACTACCGAGAGCTTCAATATTTGTTTCAGATATTTTGTTCTTCATTTTGTTGGAAAATTTGGTATGCAGTGCAGAGATTTTATGCTGCCTGTGTTTGTAACAAATAATTTGAAAATTTTCATTAAGAAGTTTTTCGAATATTTTGCAGTGTAACTTTCTTTTAGATTTGTAAAAGGTTCTAGAGTTATAAACAAAGCTTTTGCTTTTAATCCTTATCCTTGTTTAAGTTAATGGTGAAAACTGTTTGCTGTAAAAACATGATGTATGACTCTTCTTCTGCAGAAATCAAAGAAATGCTGTCTGTTGTTCTGCGTGACCTAAAGTTTAGCTTGGCAGTGGTACATCAGGTGCAAAGAAATTATGTTTACTGCTTAGTAGGGTAAACATAGAGCACTCTTTTTGTATTTGGGCTACATACTGTAGCATATTTTTCTTCTGTTAGTGTTGTGGTGATTTGCTGAACCAAATATATGGTTATGCTTACAAAAAACCTAATCAATCATTGAGTTACTTTGCATATTGCCATCTAAGGTACTTTTAAAATTTACTTTCTAACTAAAAAATGTTATTTTATTGTGTTATGATATGTTATATAAATCTAGTTATCCTGTATTAGAAATTTTATTATTATTATTAGCTTTTGTATTTAAGTGGAAAGCATGTTTTTTTTCTTTCATTTGTCACATTGCATACCTTCTTTAACATTAATTAGTTCTTTTGTAGTGAACTGAAACATATTTCTTTCAAGTGAGTAATTGTTTCTAAGAGGAGGATGTAGCACAAAGTTTCTAATCTATATTACTATCATTTTATCAAAATTGGAAGTTATAGCCAGGGTTTGTTGTACCAATGCGTATTGCTCGGTACGGGCGGTATGTACTAGTCTGATAGGATACCGGTATGCAGATTGTCCTCTATCAGGCAGTACCGAACACTTGACCCAGTATCGGGTGATACGAGGTCTATACCTGGTGGTAGTGGTTGTAATTCGATCGTTATCGACCTGTACCGATCGATAACAGTTGGATTTCGACCATTACTGATCAATGGCTGAGATTGCTCTATTTTAAACGGTCAATTTGATCATTTGAGGCTTAGAAAAGGATTTTTAAACTCTTTCCTCCCTCTTTCAACTCATTTCACTCTTAATCTCTTAAATTCTTTCTCTTTTTACTTACATTTCTCTCTTATTCGTACATTTTGACTCTTCTAAAGTCAACAAAGCTATTTGAGCAGATATGATAGAGCCTACATGATGTAGACACAGAGCGAAGCTTATTGTATTCACAGTCATCATATTATGGAGAATCTTATGGCTAATAGCAGTACGGTGATAGTTGGTCATACTTCTCTAAACAACAATATGATAATCGATCTTACGAGACGGAGCAGCAGATGAATATCGAAAGTAGAAGTTCTAACATTCTCTATGCTCCGCATCAATACATGCTACATTCGTCCTTGTCTCAGGAGCCGCCTCGGACGTATGGTTCACGATGATCAGACTACGATCATCACCACATTGATGCATCAATGATATACGATATGTATCAGTACTTTATGTCATGTGATCAATTTCATGATAAGTCCAACAAACATAACATATTGATAATACATATATATAGGATCGAGGTTCTCGATCCACCATATGTGGAGTCCCATCATTTTTTTTTATGGTAGAACTAGGTATATCAATTATTTGATTATTTAATTCATTTGAATCTTAAAGTTTAAGTTATATAAAAATTAATCTAACAATTCAAATAATTTCTTTGTAGATAATTTAATATTAACGGAATGATGATCTGGAACGTACCACAAAGCTACTCTTCAAAGCTTGAAAAAGATGCAATGGTATTATTTCCTAATTTACATTATTTTTGCTAAAATTATACTAAAATTATACTTATTTTTAACTTAAAAATCCTAATCTAACTTCTTTTTTTTTTTTAGGTTTTTTTTTTTTTATGATTTTGGGCATATCATCGGTAAACCCTGGCGTATCATCGGTATGCCTCGGTACGTATCGTACTGAGCAGGGCTCGGTACATTGGTACAGATCGAAATTGTAATCTTTTGTATTGATACATTGTATGCTATTGGTGCATCAATATGATGATGATCGTAGTCTGATTGTCGTGAATCACATGTCTGAGGCGGCTCTTGAGGTAAGGATGAGTGTGGCATGTATTGGTAGCAAGTATAGAGAATATCCTAACTTTTACTTTTGCTATTGATCTGCTGCTCCGTCTCGTAGGTTCGATTATCGTACTGTTGCTCGGAAAAGTATGACAAACTACACTATACTACTGTTGGTTGTAAGATTTTCCATAATACGGTTGTGAGTACGATGAGCTTTGCTCTATGTCTATGTCGTGTAGGCTTTGTCGCATTTGCTCAAATCGTAGCTTTGTTGAGTTTAAGAGAGTCAAAATGTGAGAATAAGAGAGATATGAGTGAAAAAAAGTTTGAGAGAGTGAATTGAGTTGAAAGAGTTTAAAAACCCTTTTCTAAGCCTCAAGTGGTCAAATTGACCATTTGAAATAGGGCAATCTCAGCCTTCGATCGGTAACGATCGGATTTCGACTGCTACCCCCTAGTACAGACCTCGTATCGCTCGATACGAGGTCAAGTGATCAGTATCACCCGGTAACGGGCGGTTCGTGTCGGATCGGTACATACCGCCCATACTGAGTTGTACGCATCGGTACAGTAAACCCTGATCAGTACATTATGTTATGGGATCAATTTCATGATTGGGTCCGACAAACATATCATATTGATATACAAATATATAAGATTGAGGATCTCGATCCATCGCCTGTGGAGTCTCGTCGTTCTTTTTTATGGTAGAATCAGGTATATTCATCGATTGATTACTTAATTCATTTAAATCTTCAAGTTTAAGTTGTATAAAAAATAATCTAACAATTGAAATAATTTCTTTATAGATAATTCAATATTAATGGAAAGGCGATTCGGAATATACCACAAAACTACTCCTCAAAGTCCGAAAAAGATGTGATACTATTCTTTCCTAATTTACATTATTTTGCTAAAATTATACTAAATTCATTGTGCCGAAGCCATGTCACCCTTCTTATGTACCAAAAGATTTTGAAACCTGCTTACGTCTACGTCTGTACATGCAGGGAACAAAGACCCAATTGCATTATGTTTTGCTTTTAAGTATTTTGCAAATGCAGCATATAGTGTTTTAATCGCTCATTGCTGAATCTCAGAATAATGTCTTATTAGTTCTTTGGACAAGGTCCAGATGTACACTAACTTTCTAATAGTTCAACAATGACATTTTAGATTGCCTTTGATTTGTATAATTGTGTATATTTTAAAACTTGCATAATTTTTATTGTCATGACCCGACTATGACCCAACCTGATGTATACCCATTAGGCTCTTATAAGTCAATCTTAGCCTTTGTACATTTTTTTTATGAAGGACTAAACTGTGATGCTATAGTCCTCCCCACTTAAGAGTTTGACATCTCGTCAAGGTCTAATATAGCTTGGAATCAAACTCTAGTATGATGAACGTGAGACTTATCCTAGTGATGGCTTCACGTTGTGATGTATTCTCCGGCTATGGGTAGTCCTTCCTTAATTGAGCTTTTTACCATGCATAGTATTAGGTTGGATCTGATACCAATTGTTATGATCTGACTTGATGGAATAATTGGTTTATAAACTTTGTTGAGCTCGAACCACTGATCCAAAATTCTTAAACCTAGTACTGTAGTACACCACTGGCCCAAAATGCTTAAGTCCAATACTATAGTATATTTGATTTTTATAGCTAATTTTAGCTTTGCTCACTTTCGACGTGAGATTCAATCAGGGTATTACATTTATACTTATTTTCCCCATTTTTCATTTAAAAATTCAAATCTCTAATTTTTATTTCTTCTTTGGCCATGTGTTCTAGTTGTATGACTTTTTGTTGGTACAAGAGAATCTTGATGGCTTTCTTTGTCATTTCGTGAGAGATTCAGTTTAAGTTTCTTTTGTTTTATGTTTTCATGGTTGCTACTAGATTGTGTTATATATTGTATGTTCAGTCTAATCCTTTTTCAATTCAGGAAGGTCTAGCTGCAACCTTTGGGAATGGATTATCTACGGCTTGTGTTGTTAACATTGGTGCTCAAGTAACATCAGTAATTTGCATCGAGGCAAGGAAATGCTTTACTCACTTCTTATTTAATTGATTAGGACAGGAATGCAGAATATTTTTCCATATTGTAATGGCATTAAGCACTTAGTTGCTGTAAGTGATATGCATGGGTTTGGGTCAAGCATATACTTTGACTCTTTGAGCTCTAATATTTTTTTATTAATTTATATATCATAATTTTGCATAAATTTTCAGGATGGTGTAGCTTTGCCTTCTACAGTTCTCACGTTGCCTTATGGTGGAGAGGTTTGACATGAATTTTTTACTTTTGGGTTTATTCTCATTCCCAAAAAATCGTGAATAAATTTTTTGGTCAAGAATTTTGATTATTCATTATTATTTTTTGTGATATATGCCTAACAACTCATCAATTAGTTTTTTGGTTATTTATTACTTACCTTGACAAAACAAAAACTAAATGTTCACTAATCTATTTCATGTAGGATATCTCGAGATGCCTCTTGTGGTTACAGCGTTACCATCAGACTTGGCCACCTATTCAAACTAATCCACTGGTGAAGCCTATTGACATGTTTATGCTTAACAAAATAAAGGAATCTTACTGTCAGATTAGAGTGAGTTTGTTGCCAGCATTTAATATTATGACCTGTTTTTTTTTATTTTCAACATGTTATTAGTAAAGTTTTTTTTTATTACTTCACAAATGATATCGGTGGCACTGAACTGACCCTAAGCATAAATTGTCAGTTTTGAGTTAACCAGCTTAGGCATCTAGTTTATGTTCACTGGTTGTAGCAAGGGAAGAAGAAGCGTTGAGGGAGAAGAGGGAGAAGGCGATCGAAGAAGAGGGAGAATCGGGAGAACCTTGATGCTTCCCGATTCAGCGCCGCCCTCCCTCGACGATCTCGATCCAGGAGGTAATGGAGAGGCGGCTCATCTTATTCTTCACCGTGTTCTTCGCTGAAGGCCGGAGACACTTGCGGCCTTTGCCACGTTCTTCGCTGAAGGCCATAGACATCTGCGGCCTTCGACGTCTTCGCCGAACGCCATAGATGCGGTCTTCTCCTCGTCTGATGCGTTGAGGAGAAGAAAAGGAGGCGACATCACTAAGACAACGTACGCCTCCTTTTTTTTTTATTTTTTTATATTTTTATATATTGATTTTTATATTTTTATAATATATATACGTACCAAGTGGTACACCCTAGCATACCGTTCAGTACACTTGTACTGTACCATATCGAGCAAAACTTGAAATGTCGATACGGCACGAAATTACGAACCTGCCCTCTAACTATGTAACATTTGCCATTTAGGAGAGAGGCTACTTATGATCCAATTATGATAGCAGAAATAATAACTCTTTGGCTGTTGATCATCAAGTTTGGTGCGATAAAATAACTGTGATCATGGGTTTGGTTTAGTATTAGACTTTGGTTAGGTTCTTATCAAACTATTATTTCACAGGCACACTAAGATTATAACAAGAAAAGGAAAAAAAGATAACCAAGAAAGAGAAGGGGGTGGGTTTTACCTGCTAGCTTCGGTGTCTCTTTTAGTCAAACAAAACTATGCAAGTCTTCAAGAAAATAAAATAGGAATGGGGAATGAGGTTAAAAATTGAGACACAAGTTATCTTGGCAGTGCATCAGCAAGCCCAAGCTTGCAGCAGCATTCTGCATGATATAAATGTAATTACAAAATAATGGTTTATGAAGAAGGTTTATCAATGGTTATCTTTTAACATTGTACTCGGCTGATTGGAATTAGTTATTGGGCCTAGAATTCATTCAGATATGTATGAGATCTTATAATAGCCAGTTTTGGATGTGCATTGTAGATTGGTTTGTGTAGTTATGGATCACTGAATAATTTATTTGATATGCTTACTCCATTAGCAAATTCGATGGTGTAGGAGTTACTGGACGTGGAGCTTTATGGGTTAGCAAGTCATATTATGTTACCATGTGGCGCTAAAATACTTGTTTTTCTTTTTCTGCATAGCTGTCCGTTGTTCATTTTTTTTCATATTCAACTTTAAGCTGATATATTTACTGGTTGATTTCTATCTTACGTACCATATTCCATGTGTGCATCATGATATATCACCGTTGATGATTTAATGTAGTTACATCATCTTCCTAGTGCGTGTGTTAGAGATGGTCAATTAAAAATATAGATGGTTATATAGTATTATCTTACCAAATTTCTACTTCAAATCTTAAGTTTCATAACTAAGAAACTTTTCTTTTTGACAGGAAGGAGAATATGATGCTGTGGCCATAGTTCATTCATTTGATGAAGTTAGACCTGTTGGCTCACATAAGACAAGGCTATCTGCCCTAAATGTAGGTTTCTTTTTTTTTTGGTTGAATTAAAATTTTGTTAAAATCAGCAGTGTTGTGAAATTTACTTTTGTAGCTTTTTTTTTTCTGGGATAGTGGATTTTGGTGAGCAAGCATTTAGTTGGTTAGTAATTGTGGGCTTCTAGGACTGTTTATATTTTATTTAATCTAGTTAAATATAGCACCAAATCATAATTGTTTTCTTTTTTATATTTGGGACTCCATACTTATATGATTACATGTATTAGTAAATGTTGATTGTATATATATAATCCCTTGGTTATGCATAGATGAATAGATGAGTATTTATAATCATTTCTCTGTATACATACGGTTAAATCTATTCATGCATAATATGCATACATGTTTACAGGACGTGTGTGCTTCATGTTATATTAATGCTTTATTGAAGAAAAACCTTTTTTCTAGTTCTAGCAAGACTTATTATGGAACATTAGCTTTTTGTTAGTTTCTTCTTTTTTTACATGGAGTTTCTTGTTTGTTTATTCTTTATGTACAAGGAGCATGTTGGTGACAATTTAGCAGGATTCTGGTTAATTAATGATAGAGATTGAATGATGACATATAATTTTCTACCTTGTGACATCTCAGTGCTTGCATATGCTCTCTTTAATAGCTTTATAAATACTCATTTGAATGATGCAACAAACCAACTATTTCTGCAATTATGGTAATAGCTAGATTACATGATATACATTTTCATTTTGTGAATATAAACTTTGGTATACAGAAAGATTTTGATGGTAATCAGTACTGGATCTGTGCCAATCTCTGATCAGACTGGCGCAAGTCTAGAACATAGCAAAGCATACCTTAGACCGCATGGACCAAAGAGACAGGGAAAAAAGAGGGGAGGAGGAAGAAGAGTTGGAGGATAAGGTGTTGGAGCACCGGAGACAGAAGAAGTGGCTGTGAGGCAATGGATAGCGATGAAAACAAACTGTTTAACCTTTAAAACTGGGCTGTAAGCCTGGGCTTTGCGCCAAATTGGGCAATAAGCCTTGGTCCTAATTGGACCGAGTGACTGTGTAGTTTGCATACCAGTTTTAGGTTGGACCGGATGCACCAGGAAATAATGCTATATAGTAGAAAGGATGAACATATTATCATCTATATTGTGATCATTTATGCTAAGCAATAGGGTTGGTTCATGTAATGAGTTCTTGTTTTTGTTGATATACAATTTCCAGTAAAATAACCTATTTTCAGTTTCAATAATCCTATCTTGTTCTTGAAAATTCTGGTTTAACTAATTACGTGTACTATTTTTGTTCTGTGAAATTGTTCTAGGTTCCTCCTATGGGTCTTTTCTATCCTGCACTTCTTGTTCCTGAAGAATATCCACAGCCTCCCCGCCCATGGTGAGATTTTATTCGGTAATTTTATTGCTCTCCGTATCTTGTATAGTTGCCTGTTATATGCTCATTTAAATTCAATTTATTCTAGGTTTCATGACTATGAGGACATGCTGGAAGATACATGGCATATGGAATTCTCAAGGAGACCTGACATGTCAGATGGTCTTTATCTGGGTGTTAACAGTGGATTAAACATGTGGGATAATTACTCCATGCTTCCATCTAGACCTAAAAAGGATGATAAACTTGGCCTTGCTGAAGCAATTACTAGTAGTATACTTTCAACAGGTTTAATTTTTCCAGTTATCTTTGCAAGTTATTAAGTATTTCATTGGAATAACTTAACAGTTGGTTCTGACTCTTTTTTGCAGGACGACTGGACCTTAAGAGGAAGCTGTTTTGCAGCATACAGCTGGTAAGTCTCTCGAAGTCTTGGCATTGAGTTTATTTGTGTTTTGACATGTTCAGTGTGTTACATTTATTTTGTTTTTTTTTTTGACAGATAGGTGGAGTATCTTTGACAGCTGGTCTTGTGGGAGCAGTTGAAGAGAGGTTTGTCCTCCATTCATGATTATTAATGTGGACATAATCTTGTCATTTTGAGGACCGTACTTACATATGAATTCTTCTGCAACTTCGGATTAAGGTCACTCCCGATTTGAGTTGCACCATGGCATGCTTAAGATATTTGTTATTGGTTCTTTTCTATAGCACCAGTTTTCATACAATTGCTGTCTACCTATATTTTCTTTTTGAATTTGTTGGAAAATTTAAATATTGGAATATTGCATCGATGAAGTTGCTCAAACTGGCAATTGTAGGTCAAGGAATTTGAAATGGTTATCAAAAGGCATTGAGGCTTGAGAACTATAAGTGCTTTCTTGTCGTAGATAAATCAATTTTGCTTTGGCTATTTGTTTTTTTTTTTTTCTATGCTATCATTCTTTTTCATCTCGTGTGTTTTTTTTGTATTATTTGGCTAAAGTTAGTTACTTAATTTGAAACAAGTTGAGCAGAAAATGGCAAATTTTAATATTTTTGATCAGTTATTTACCTTATAAATTTCAGTAATTGTAAATTGTTTATCATTTCAGGGTTTTGCATGCTATTCCTTCAAATGAAGCAATTGACACTGTGGAGGTTAGTCCATGAAAGTACATTGTTGCCAAGAAAAAGAGATCTATAACCACATTGCCCTGTAATTTAAATAGTTATCATCTCCATATGTCCTCTTCTATTGTTTTGTTAATGTGTCAAAAAAACAAAGCTTTCTATTGAGTTTGTTTTGAAATTGAGTTCAATATAATTAGTTTCCAAGTTATAAACTAGCACCTGAATTTTGGTACTGTAATTTGCTTTAGACTAAAGCTGCAACTGGAGTTACACATGATGGCGACTCTGACTTGCACTATATGGAGATTTTAAGACTTCATTATTACTTTGATACCATTTTAGTGTCTATAGTCTACTGTATAATGTATTGATTGTCAGTGTGGCTTGGTTTTAGTAAGTTGCACTCAAACCACTGCAAGTATAGAGAGAGAGAGAGATAGAGAGAGAGATCTATACACCAGCAAGGAGGCAAATGCATGGGCAGTATGTGTGTGTGTGTTTATTAGAGGAAGAGGAAGGGGAAGAGGAGCTGAAGCAAAGGGAAGGGCCAGCTGTTCGGGATTCTAAAACACAAAAAACAAGAAAAGGGGTACCTATACTACTGGGCCTTAGGCTTACCACCCAATGCAACTTTGTAACTACCTGGTAGCAAATCGTACCAGATGATTTTGCTCTGTCCATGTGTCAGACCAATAAAATCAGGTTTTAGAACCTAGTTAATACAGGAACATTTTGTTTTGAATGTTTAAATTCATGGATTGTGAATTGAATCATTGAACACTAACTTTGTGTTGTGCACTGGAGGAAGTGTAGGAAAAAATAACTTTGGACCAATCACCTCATTTGAATTATATATTTGTTTTGCAATCCGTAAACTTGTAGTTTTCAGATATTTAATAAATGCTAATTAGCCATCCGCTGTCTTCATTTATGTCTCCCTTGTTCAACATATAATAGACCCTTTAAAGTTCTTAAATCTTGTATCATTGCAAACTTAAATTATTGCAGATGCTGTCCTTTTTTATTTCATTTAAATTTTTAAGCATTAATCTAACCTATTTCTTTATGATAATGACAATTCTTACTACATTTATGAAATTTCTGAGATCAAAGCATTACATGTTGATGTGATCTCTCTTCAATTGTAATCTTATACATGAGGTATTTTCCATGTCCATGGAAAATAAAGTTGCATAATATTTAATATCCTTCTATATCTAATCCATTGGGAGGACAAATTATCAAACAATTTTGCAATTGTGAGTTGATACCATTGATCAATAGTTAATTTTAAACTACATAAAATTAAATGAATAATGTTCTTGAGGCCTTTTGTCTATACACATGCACATTTTGTTTGTCACTATGATTCCTTAGTCCTGTCTTTCTGTTTAGATCTTTTTGTTCAAGGGAATGATTGGTTTTAGCATAATTTGGACAGGTGCTGCAATCAAGAACCAACCCATTGTTTGTGTCATGGAAAGGGGGTGCGGTAAGTTGCAACCATCTCTTTGTTAAAGATATCCAGAAATTCTTATGCTCCCTCGTGTCATGTTATGTTATGTATCCTGTTTTTGGAATCTTTTCTTGTTTATGTTTCAATGTTTGGCAAAAAATTATGTCTTGGCATGCCTATTTTAACTTATGAGAAATAGATTTTTTTAACACTCGTTATTTGGAGGTTCAACAGCTGATATAAAATTCTGTGCTCAACTGAATATGTGCATGCAATAATGACATTTCTACTACAAACAGCATATGAACGATTCTTCAACATATGGTATCTGGAGGTTCAACAGTTGACATAAAGGTCTATGCTCTACTGAATATGTGGATGCAATAACTGCATTTCTACTTCAGATAGTGAAGTGTGAGGATTTTTGACCAAAATTTTATAATAGACTAGGTACACATCAATGTGGCTCCTTCCTAGATAGAGATCTGAGTTTGATCCTCTCAAATCTGATGATCTGGTTTCGATCCATGTAGATCTAAAGCAGATCCTTGTGTTTGCTACTACATAATAGAGGATGAAGGACAAGGTTGTGAATCTATTTGACTGCTTGTATATTCATGATGATTCAGATTATATGCTGGACTGGTAAGGCAGCAGATGCACCATGTCCGACAAAGTTTATTTTTGAAAATGTTTTAACAGGGACCAACTTGACGCGACAACTTGATATGAGGACAATGATGTTAAATTTGAATACCAGATGTTATGATGTGGTCAAGGTACTGGAAGTTGGTCTTCTGTGGCTCATACCATAGGAAGTTAGTCTCAATCATCGATTAGCTGCAGGAAGGCTGTACGCCACTTTTTGCAACTAATTGTTAAAAGTTTTACTTATGTTTTTTTGGGCATATAATTCATATTATATTTTAGGAGACATATGAGAATGCATAATTAAGTGAGAAATTCTGTGAATTATTAATTTCATTGAAGTTCTAAGATTAGTGTTAGGTTGCTTGGTGCAATGGACAAGTTTTTGAGAGATCAAAGAATGAGCTTTGTTAGTAGCTGTCTGGAAAGGAGAACTTGTTTTCATTTTTGTCAATTGATACTGTTTCTTATTGCATTAATCTCAAGTAGAATGTCCTTTTCAATGATGAGTTGCATATTTTAGAAAATTAAATGATGCTACATGGTTGTTATCTTTTCCTTAATTATTTTGTCAGACAGGTTCCTTGAGATTTCCTTGCCACCTGCATGTGTTAGGCATCTGCTAACGATTGCTTTGATCAGAAACTTTAAATAGTTGGAAATTTTGTTTATGGATATGCTACTTATAGTCAAATCTGGTTGTACATGGTAAAAGGATAAACAAAATGGAAGGGTCATATTATTTCTTAAATTTCCTAAATGTAATAAAGTATTCATGAGTACAGATTTTTTGCATGCCAGATTCTTGGTATCCTGGATTTTAGTCGTGATGCTTGGATACATAGAGAGGACTGGATAAGAAATGGGATTCACATAGGAAGTGGCAGAAAATACAAGGATTCATATTTTCTTCAGGCACAGGCAACGTGCTACATTAATTCTTAACAGGTATTGTCTTTTTGGTAATTTCTGATTTTTTTTGTGGGGGGGGGGTCTGATTGATTGTATTGCTTTCCTTTTTGATATACCCACTGTTTCTGTTGCATCTGGAATTTGAGAATTGTTTTACCTTTTATTAACTTATTGTTTGTGATTAATCTGATGTTTTGCTTTTTTCCTTTTCTTTCTTCCTGTCTTTGGACTCAGAACACACTGAAGGGTAAGACCACCACCGTGAAGAGAGTGGTAATTACAGTCTGGTAGCTGAACTAGTACTAGAATGAAAAGCTTGCAGCATTCAAGTGTTTGCACTGGTGGTGCTTTGATCTGATTAGTTAAGCAAATTTCACAAGCAGCACGTTTAGATGTGGTTGTCCGAGCTGCATTGCAAAGTTTCAAGCGAGTAGGCATGTCTTTCAGCACTCTTGGAGGGAAAAAGCTGCACCATGTGTAGGAGTCCACTTGGGGTCCAAAAGGAAAAGTGCGGAATATGAGGTATGTATTGAGCCTAGACTTGCTAACACAGGAACTATAGTGGAGTGCATTCAGCCTATTCTCTTTTTTGTAAGATCAATTGTACAAGACAGGTATTATAGTTGGATGTGTATGCTCAAAACACTTTTCATTTATTTACTGCTTCGGTATGCAGTGCTAGCTTGGAAGTAATCCTGCTGTCCTATAAATATACTGTGACATCGTTGATGATTCAGTTTTATTTGGTTCTTTTGGGAATATGCCATGTTGGGATATACGTCCAAGTGATGAACAAGCATATATGAAAGTTTACGAGATTAATGTATAATTCCAAAAAATCCTTTCTTAAATTGTCATTTTTTAGAAATGATTAAATTGTATACAGAGCAATGCGCAAGTGATAAGTGGATTAAAATGACCTCCACTATCTACAGAAAACAATAAGAAAACTCACTGTTTTCATTACGGACCATCTTGGAGCCAAGTGGTTCGGCCGTAATCAATACAAACAGGATATTGTTTTTGTAGCCACAAAGAAGATCTAATTGAAATGCAATGGCCCCAAAGCCTTCGAGAGTGCGAAGTGGGCGATAGGAATCGGAAGAGGTCCGATCTGACGAAGCGAGGATGCGATAATTGGAGACACCGTGCGCTTCTTTATATCTTTGATCAGCTAAATTACCCTGGACTCCCACCAAAGGTTGGGCCACGGTGATGACGCGGGTTCTATTGCGTGGGCCCCCACTTTCCGCAATTCTGGACATGTGCTTCTTCGTGTCGACGACGATATAAAGGGCGGGAAAATAAATCAGACGAGCAAAACAAAAAAAAGAGGGAAATCGGAAGAAACAAGAAAGGAGAAGGCGGCAATCCCCTCGAAACGGGGAAACTCTTCGCCGGTGCTCGCGACGGCTTCGTTCGGCCCCGATTCTTCCTCCGCCCTCGGCTCTTCTCTTCTCGTTTCACAGGTGAGTCCGATCCTCTTCTACCCTCTTCGCGATCCCAATCCAGTTCAACAGCCAGCGTCCCCACGAGGACTTTACCTCGAAGTACCGTCGAAATTGTAATCGCTGGAATCTTTTTTCTCTGCTTTGTTTCTCTGGGTATGGATCAAATGATGTTATCTGTGGATCTCCCTTTTTTGGTGCCTCTTCTTTCTTTCACTAGACACGCGAAGACTTTGCTAGGGTTTCTCCGGCGGCCTTGTGGTCTGATTTGGACTATTTTCTCGTTGATATAGATTCGGAAATTAGTAGCAGAAATGTCTAATTGTGGAAGCATTGTGGTTCCGTGTCGCAAAGATTTCATCCTCTTTCTTGCATCAAGACATCAATTTGATGAACTCTCTATGACATTCTTTGATGAGAAAGGTTATTTAATTGGGTACTGTGGGACGTGAAAAGGATGAGCACGAGTTTACTTGTATTAACTCGTAAATTTTCGAGCCTTTGTATGGTATTCATTGATTTTCCATACCGGATGTGTCTTCTAATCGAATGCCTGTTCTACGAGAGGCCTACTCACCAAGCAACACAGAATTTCTTTTTACAGAATTGTGGTTGCTTCTTGGATCATCCTAAACTTTTTTTTTATTATTTCTGGAAGATTATCTAGCTGGTTAACAAGAAGTGGAAATGGACATAATATTGAATAAATAGTAGGCACTAAAACAGGAAGTATTCAACGCGTCCTGTGTATGTTTCTCAATGTTTGCTTAGATTTCAGCTCATCTTGTAGCATCAAGGATTGCCCAAATGTAAGCATTCTCATGAAAAGGAAATTAGTGTAAGATTGGAGTTTCTGCTGCCTTACTTGTCCCTTTACCTTCTTCTTTTCCCTTCTTTTGCAGATGGACTTTAGTTGGAGTTTCTTAGTGTGGTTGACTCAGTAGATCATTCAACTCTAAGTCTGTTGATCTATTCAGCATCACTAACTAAGATCAGATAGTAGAAGATCATACCTTAGTGGCTTACTTGTACTGCCTAGAAAGTTCATGATTTGGCATTCTCATTGCTCTTGCTACAATTCTTGTAGGCATGGAACGTGACCTGGTTAATGCACCAAAATTTGATTACTCCAGTGATACTGATGATTTGAAGTATGTGAGTGGACTCAGCACAATATTTGTGGCCACCATTCAAGAAGTAAAAGACCGGGTTTCCCAAATAGAATTAATCTTCTGTAGCCAACTATTTCCATGTTTGCAATCAACATCAAAACTCTTACAGAAAAAGCTTGCTGATACCAGGAATGCAATGGAGGCTGAATGGAAGAAAAAAGAACATGCCCTCTTACATCAGATTGAAGAGCTTCTTTCTGAAAAGAAACATTGTCAAGATGAAATCCAGCAATTGTGCAGTTCATTAGAGGAAAGTAGGACAAAGTTAATGGGCACTGAACAGTTGGTAAAGAAATATGAATTAGAGAAAGGACAACTTATGGACGAAGTTGAAAGCTTAACAAGGAATGAGGTAATAATTGGTGAATTGAAAAGGCAGCTCGAGCAGAAAACCAGTGAAATAGCTGAGGGGAAGGAGTTGCAACAAAGTTTATTAGAACAAAGTGAATTGAATGATAAGAAATTGTCAATTGAGCAAGCTAAAAAAAGAGAGTTGCTTGAGGATTACAACAGGTTGAGAACAAGTTACAAACAATTGAAATCGCAATACCTTTACTTAATCAGGAAGCTGGATAACAACTTAGAAAATGAGCATCACTTGGACAGGAAGCAGGAGGTAAAGAGTTCGCCAATGTCTTATCCAAAAAAGAGAAGACTCCAAGGTAGTTCTTTCTTCTTCCCTCATTCTTAAATCAAATATAAAAGGTGTCGTGGTTGCACTGATTCTAAACAGTATCAAAAGCTTCTTTTTTTCCCTTGTTTGATTTTTAGCATTGAGTAGTAAGGCTAACTGGAGGTTAAGGTTTGAGCTACCTTTTAGAAATTATTTCAATAAACCTCTTTTCTTAGTATTGGACTGTTATGTATTTGGAGCTTATTTGATAGACTCGATAGGGTGACTGTTTGATATGCACAGATTATGAAGAGAATGAAGAGGAGATTACGAGCATTGCATCTCAGACAGATGAGACAAAATCTGAGGGTGGTTCTCATGAAGATCCTGCAGTCCATCACGATCTTCCTTTAGTTAAAAGATTGACCAATGGTTCCCATGTCACTCATTCATCTTGCCGCCCATCCATTCTGCCAAAGTATACTGTTGGTACCACCAAATCAGAGCCAATAGCTGGTGAAAAGAAAGGCAGTTCATCTTGGAGGGATACTCGGGCTAAAGAAGCTCGTGGTTTGGATCTCCATGATGACTTTCTTGACACTCCTTTGGAGATCGTGAGGAACATAAACAAGCTCCCCTGCAAAGAAGCTCAAGATATTGCAGTCCCTCCTCCAAAAGATGTGGATTTAAACAATTATGATGATGAAACACAAGATATGAACACCAAGACTATACCACACCAACAGTGCATTTCTGTCCTAGGTCCAAATAAAGGGGGATTTAAGTACGTGGAGCCTGTAAGGAAGAAGACTGACCGGGAGAATCTTAAAGGAGTTGAATGCCAGCAATGCAAGAAATTCTATGATGCAGTTCTGCTCGGTGATGATGGTAATCCAGATCATGTGAATAGGCGCTGCGAACATCATGATGGTGTGTCAAGGCATCGTTACAGGTATGCCCCTCCAATGACACCTGAAGGATTCTGGAACATTGGGTTCGATTCAGATATGTAGCTTTTGAAGCATTATGGATTTATATGTTATTTGCATTCGTTTCCAAGTCCTGTATGTGTTAGTTACTATGATTCTGAAGCTCAAGCAAAGAAATAAATTTGTTGCTAAATAGTTTTAACTGAAATCAGTAAAACTTTTTGCTAGTTCAGAACAATTTCAGAATTTTGAATCGTCTCTACTGGAACCGGAATCATAGTCTTTTGATAGCTCAGAATAGTGAGCTCTTTAATGCTGAATGAATTGGCATGAAAAATGAGATCAAGCAACTACATCTTGTGGTATTAGTATACTGATGGCAAGTTCATGGTATTTTTATTTTTAATATAACATTTTTATTGCAGAGATTTGCTGATGGTATGCTGACACAAGGATAGTTGAATTTGCCAAATATATATGCTCTTGTTTTTGTTGTATTATCTTTGGGTATCTGGTCATTGCATTATATTTTGAGAAAGAGGACTCAAGGCACTTGTTCTTAAGGAAATTGCTCGTGTGCTTGGTATTTGGAAAATTCAACTTCATCTAAGAAATGTTCACTCTTTTGCTCTTTTGGTAATTGCCATTTCTTGGTCTCTGCCATTCATTTTCAAGCTATAATCTCTTGCAGTAGTTCTTGTTTTCAAGATATATTGTGATGTAAAATAGACTTTGACTTGCCCATGTTAGAACTTGAGCTGCACTTACACCACTGAAGAAATGTGTGTAAAGTGTACGAAGTAGTAATCTCTGAAAGCTATAATTGGAACATCGGATCTTTGTTTCTCTTCCTCAAATAAATTTTGCTCAAGTTAATTTGATTTCTTAGTTTTAAAGACTCAAAGTTTATGAGGTATAGAGAGGAATCAACATCATTATCCAAAAAAAAAACTTAAAAGGCAATGTTAGAGATAAAGTCCCTCACGTTTTTAAAGACTCCAAGACATATAGTTGCTAGAACAGTTTCTTCTCGAGCTCCAGGGACATATGCCTATCGTTCTTCTAGGACCTCCGACAACCATGGATTTGCAGTGTCAACCGGCTCTCCATCAGTTACTAACCCTACTGCGAACAACCAAACATCACCAATTGTTGTTAGCATTTTTTGGAGGAGATGGTTGTGTGATTCGATTCAAAGGCTTAATTGTGCGAGATCGTGACTCGTCCAAGTTCCTAATTCTTTTATTTTTCCAAAAAGAGAAGAAGCTCTAATTAAGCATTAGCAAAATGAGTACAAAGTTCCCCATCGGCATCATAGCTGATAATACAAGACAAATCAGTAGGGAAAACAAAATTCCACATATAAGTGGGTTGAGAGGTTTTGGTGTGATAGCCATCCTTAGCTTCTCTGAAAACACATGCTGCACTCTCACAGCATTAAAAACTGTAGTGCTGAGTACATACATGCCAAGGTGGAGCCTTTTTCGTGTTGACAATCTCCACCAACTCGGAGCAATCAGTCTCTAGAATCGATCTGTTTATTATGCCCTCTTTAATTGCAATCTGGAGTGTCCTTCCTTGACAGCTAAGGCTTCATATTTCATCAGGGAGTGCTCCGCAAAAGACCTGCCACCAGCAATAAGGCATTCATTGTCCATTTAGAGTCCCTAATAAAAAATGCTGTTTCCCCCTGATGCAGAGAGGGGTTAACAGAACCATGAATGTTAATCTTGATCCAGTTTGATTCAGGTTTCATCCATACAACATGTGTTTGCCTCGTCTCCATCCTCCCTTCAGAAGAGGATCTATCAACATAGGTTAAAGAAAAAGCCACTACTTTAGACAGAAGTGCTCGTACATTAGGTTGCACACCATTAAATTTCACCCTGCCAAAGTAGCCACAGCCCATTTGCTATAATTACAACTGCAAGGATCGTTGGGTCAGACTCCACCTGACCGTATCCTTCCCTACCCAACCTCCCTCCATCCACTCCCCTCTTGTGTTGGAACTTGCAATCTCTTATGGACCAGTTTCCAACATAACACCCTCAATTTGAGATTCATTTGTTCAAATTTAATAAATTTGTTCTTCGTACCGTAACATTGTCCGATAAAAGTAATATATACCAATTTGATAAGAGATTGATATGGACGGTAAATACTAATTTGTTGATATGCTCCATCAAATCATGTGATGATATATCGATACATACCATATCGATAATTGGTTAGTAAATCGGTATGAACAATAAGATGAACCATGTTTATAAGAAGACTTAGTTGTTGGACTAGAAATGTCATTATTGGATGGTTTTCAAATCAATTTATCATCACAAGATGATTGAGACAAGGCAATATCACATATTTGATTACAAATGTCATCATCAAAAGATTGTTTAAAACTATTTAGGTTTTGAGCCATTACATTTTAAAGTTGGTTTCCGATATATAGGAATATCAAACAATCAACTATAAAAAAGAACAGGGATAGATTTACCATTACCTACAATATTAAAGAGACCCCCCTTTAGTTGATCAATAGCATCAACAAGCAACTTCCAACTCCAACTAGAAACTTGGTTGCTAGAATTAGACAATGGTTTGATAGCACCATCTTTAGCATGCACCATGCACCACTTGAGACCAAAGAGATTGATCCTCATTAAGATAAGCCACAATTCATTAAACTTGGAGGGCATACTTAGCGAGATTTGTAAGTCTTTAATACCAAGGCCACCTCTATCTTTAGGAAGGATGACTATTGTCATGATCTTTTTGCCTAAGAAATCATTTGATGATTTGTTCAATCCTATTTAGGATAGGTTTAGGCATCCAAATAACACTTAAAGAAGTGGATTGAGATTGAATTAAGGACAGAATTAATCAAAACAATCCTGCCAGCTTGGGAAAACAAAGAACCATTCCAATTACTAAGTCTCTTCTCAACCTGTTGGACAAATAGGATCATGGGATAGGAGCAACAAAATACCCAAATATTTTAAAGGAAATAAAACCTCCTTCATGTTCAAGACAGAAGAGACAGCCCTCCTATTTTATCTATTGGTATTTCTAGGAAACAAAACAAAAGATAAAAGGTAAGAAGACAATGGATCTCTTTCCGAACTGACTCTTCTACCTTCAAAGGAATTGAAGGGGAGCTGTTAATTAGACATTGTAGCTAAGAGAGGAATGACAGCTTCCACCAGAACGATTTCTAAGGCTTCAAGCAACATCGAACGTGGGATGTGCGCCGCACCCTTGCGCTAAGGACAACTCCTCGAGAAATGATGACACCAACTAGGAGACGACGACGGAGAATTGGACCACCACCGTCCCTGTCTCGAAACTGTGCACGTCCTCCTCTTCCTTGGACTGCTACGAGCACAGCATTCGAAACCCCTCCTGCTTCCCGTCTTCAAGGTTTGACTTCCTCATGCCCCCTCACGCGATCCAAGAAACAAGACCTCACCCAACCTTGCTCCCTCAGTCCCTCCCTCCCTCCGCCCGTCACAGAACCTCTCAAGACGAGCGTCCACAGAGCTCGATCATCTCCGCTCGCTACCTCGAGAGAAAAGAAAAAGAATCTTTCTTTACGTTGGAACCGCTCCAAAATTTGGCATTTTTTTCACCTTAGCCGATCTCGAAAGGAACCCCTTTTCTAAACCCTATTGTGTATATCCGAAGGAGAAACCCTCGCCCGACTTCTGTCACAGAAGAAGTAGGAGGCAAGTAAAGCAGAGAGGCAACTCACCCGTGGTCGAGGCGGGAGAAGGGAAGGAGGGGGCCGAGAATGGAGCGATCCGGCAGCGCGGGGTCGGCGGTGGTGGCGATCGAGTGCGTCGCCGGGAGCAGCAGTGCAGACGAGTGGGGCGGCTGCAACGGGGAGGAGGCGGCGCCGTTGCGCATTGGGGACATCCTCGAGGAGATAACCTTCGGAGGGTCACCGCCCGCCCGGGCGGGACGCCGTCATGAAGCTCCTTCACGCCGCATTCCAGCGAGGCGACTCTTCTGTCCTCGTGCGGGCCCGCCATGGCGAGCGCTCCGCCGCGCCGTACCTCGAGCTCCACGCCTGCAGTTCCTCCTCCTCTCCATCCGCGACCCTAACTACGCCATCATCGCCCTCGTCGACCGATCCGAGTCCGAGCGCATCGCATCACAAGGTAAAGAAAACAAAAACAAGAAACAACCCAAAACGAAGATATAAAAGACACTTTCAAAACTATTTCTTTTCTTTCCAAATAAATCATTTATAACAATCATAAGGAGCCTTTGCATTTATCTTCTTTAGTTGATATAACCCTCTAAATATTACATGCTTAGATTACTTGTTATCTTTCATCAGCTAACCGTCATGAAGCTCCTTCCCGCACCGTGAACACGGGAGCACCGACCGACCTTTCGGACTCGGCGAACACTGGTCTGTGTGAGGTCGAGGACTACCATCTCGTTTATAGGGTTTCATCGACATATCGTCTGTAACGGACGACGACAGCGGCGAGGGCGTCGAAGCTCCTCGTCGTCTCACGGGTCGGGAACGAGAAGGTGCTTCCCTGGATAGTCTCGACCTCGGGCGCCATCCGCTGCTTCGACACCATCTCCCTCAGCCATAAGCTCTCGCTGCACCGGCACGCACTGAAACCCATTCTGCTTCACTTGCTCATGTGGGACGCGTCTGCGTCCGCGGTTCCAGGAGTGGTCGAGCAGCACGAGTCCCCTGCTCTGGCGCAACCCAGAGTCTTTCGTGCCGCGACCTCCAGCAAGCAACAGGGCTGGTGGTCCGACGGCGCCGCCACAACATTTCATGTCGAGGCATCCGTCGGAAGAGGAGGCTGTGACGCCGCCACTGCCGTCGCTAGCACCACCATTGCCAGCAGGCGAGGTTTCCCCCGACGCCATTATCGGCAGGTACATGGTAGTAGATGTGTCGTTGAGATTCCGCTACTCGAACGCGAGCAGCGACTGATTCTTGTGCACCGTCCTTTCCAACCAGAACTAATGTTTATTTAAGGCTTTTGACGCATCTTGTGCACCCTAGGAGTGGCATTAGCCTTTGTTCTTGTCATGGCTTGATGGCTACAACCACGATAGATGATGGTTGCTGTTCCATTCTAAGATTTCCATAAACGCCGACTTACATGCTCTGTAAGCACCAGAATACATGGCTTCTGAGCAAGACAATGAACTTTTAGGAACATCTAATTCAACACATTACTCATCAATTAAGCACTAGATTAATTGGTTTCAACAGCTGTTCTATGATGTTTGCCTATGACAAATGGCTGACCACATCAAATCAATAGCAATTCAATCAAGTGATAATACAAATCTGCAACACCGAGATTTAACTAATGCATATATTGTTGTTGATTTCAAGAGAAAGCATTTAGCAGAATAAAATTCTCCCACTCAAATAACAGGATGAGCACGAAACAAAAACTCGAGATTCTTCTTGACAGTCAAAAGTATTGCACATACCAACTAGTTTGAAAAATAGAATTGTATCAAACAGAAATGGAGAAAAAACTTTTATATTTAGAAGACAAGCTCATGAGGTTTCATTCCTGACCTAAGCGAAAATCTAGCACCTAAGTAGGCCTTCAAGTCTGGGACTGCTTCGATGGCTTTTATCAATGGGCCATCCACAGCCTTTTGGTCATCCTTCTTCTCCTGAGGGAGAGACTTGGTTTCCTGCATTTTCCAAGAGAAGAAAAGGAGTATGAGCAGGAAAACAAACAAAGAGACGCCACCCTTAATCGATCAACACATTGATTCAAGGACAGACCTCTTTTTCAGTCTCGAAAAATTCACCTTCCCCTTTCTTTGTCTTCTCCTTTTTCTCCTTGGCGAAGTATTTGTCATGGAACTTGTCAGCATTGACTCCCGATATGTCAACCTTGGTAGATGTCGCAACGACGTAAGATTGATTTACTCTTCTTAGAGGCACTCCATTAATCTTAAAGGGCCCTACAGCATCCAGATTAAGTGAGACGCAAAACCAAGAACATAATTCCATGCTAATTCAGTCTGCTACGAAAAGCAAGAATCAGCAATATCAAAGAACATTCAATACTCTTACACGAGGCAAATAGGATTGTTACACACTCATTTCAAACAAATAACTACTGTTATTTGACTTCATATTTCGCCTGCAAAGCCTCAGAACAGACAAGGCGAATATGCAATTGGACAACACTGAAAAGGAACAGGAAAAATTTTGATTATAGTATATGCCTCTTCACTCGTTTAATTTGACCTTGCTTATTAGTGCCTCAACTTTGTACTGGTGTGGTGCTGCTGGGTGCAACAGGGTTACCTGCCTTTCAAATACAAGGATGAAGATACACGTTATTGGTGTCTACGAGAGAGAGAGAGAGAGAGAGAGAGAGAGCTTACAAAACCAGCAGAGCAAGGCATTAAAACATCTTTTATCAGAAATTGGTGGGTTAGAAAGAATCGGATTAAGTCGCCATTGGAACAAACTTGATGCCCAATTCATGCTTGGAATTAGGGTTGAAAACAGTAACAAATGTATCAGATATTGAGGAAACCAAATCTATTTTCATCAGAACTGGTGGTTCGGAAGGCATATGATTAAGTCAATAAGTCGACAAACATGATACCTGGTTCAGGCCTAGAATCATGGTTGAAGATGGTCAGTTATATGCAAACTTTGATCTGTATGCTTTTACTCATATACCGGTACTAGAGTTATACTAACTCCTGTTAATGATATTTACTAAACGTACATACCAATCTGATGTGGATGTAGGATGCGATCAGATTTAAGGCAGATATACATGTGAACATCAGATGAACCAAAGATCTCTATCTTTGATCTCCAATGACTTTGGCAATCTTGATCATGTCACAGAAGAAACCATTCAACATTCTGTCAATCAACTTTGATTGACATGTGAACTAAGTATAGTTAGAGGGGCCATATAGACGAAACCATTCAACATTCTGTCAATATGTATTACTTAAGCATGAGTTATCTCTGATCTCCATTCTGTCAAAGTGGCCAAAATTGTCAATCAACATTCAACATTCTAGTTATTGGGGATCAAAGAGAGAGAAAGAGAGGCCACTCTGTCTACTTAGAGGAATCATGAATGGCTATTCCTTTCATGAAAATTGCCCAACGTAAGATAGTGGCCGCATGTAGAAATAACAAGGAACTAACATATTTTGTTATCAAGAAATTAACTTGACGTCATTACATATTCTTCAAAACAAATTTCTACTAGTATGTAAAGAAATCACATAAATGAAGAAATACCAATCTATCGTTGCACACAAGAGGTTCAGAAAAGAAGCAAAGGATCACTAATATCAGCAGATGATGTAGTAGGTAAACAGAAGCACAACATACCAGATTAACACATCCAGAGACACTCACCAGTAACCAGAAGAAGTCCGGAAGGCAGCTGCTTCAGGAAGACGACCCTCTTTCCCATGAACCTACCAGCGAGAAGGATCAGAACAGTCCCCGGAGTGATGCTTGCCCTACACGCCACAATAAGCATCACAAACAGCGAATTTGAGCAACAAGGGAAACAGCAAGACACAGAGAACAACCGAAAGTGACGGCGGCGAATCCATGTACCTGAGCTTTGTAGGCTTGGGCTTGCGGCGATTGGGGATGGGAGTCTTGACATCGTCCGCGGGGTAGAACTTCGGGGGCTTCGCGGACGACTGCGCGGGCTCCGCGGGCTTCGGGTCGTGGTGGGGGAAGGAGCCGCCGTTCTTGGCCTTGATGGCCCAGATCCCGCGTTTATGGTACATCTTCGACCTCGAGAACTTCCCGATGCCTCGAATCAGGCTAGGGTTCCGGCTCGCTGCCCTCACTTTCTTCGGCGCCGCCATTGCAAGAGCGATAGACCGGGAAGAGCGAGAGGAGGACGAAACCCTTGAAATGGCACGCGGCGAAGGAAAACTAGGACGAAAGATCGGGCGCTTTTTATTGGAGGTGACGGGAAACCCTAGTCCAGTGTAAACCGATCTAATCAGAATCATCTGTAATTTGATGGACGGTCATGATTCCACCCTAGAAATGAGGTCAAACCCATCGTAATAAACAACAATGAGTAATGGATGTGAGCCCCTTGAATCAGATCATATATTTTCAATCAATAAAATAATAACAACAACTAACCATAGTGTCCCAACCTGGGTTAGTTCCTTAGATCTATCATATATTTTATACTGATTTTGTTAGAAAATAAGTAGAAATGAGATTCTTTGTCCAACAAGGGATTGTAATTGGGATATGTGAGAAAGAAGTATATGAAAATAAAGATGTGTTGCTGATTAGTGATATTAAAGACAGAAATTTTTTTTTGGCTACTTCATATAAAAAGAAAGAAACTTGTAGTCAAACTTTTGAGTGCAATGGAAATTAATGTGATGGTTGAAGAACATGTTCACAGCAAACTTTGCATATCTTAAAACAAGGATCTGTTACTTATCAGGGACAAATGTTATGCAGCTTGTAATAATCCTTGGATGAGTCTGGAATGTGAAGGGTAGACTGAATAAGATTTAAGGTCTCATCACTTGTAGGCCTGTTTCAGTCCAAATCTTGATAGAACAGTGCATACAGGCATCACCAGCTAAAATGTGAATCAATTCTTTAAACCTCATTAGATGTATAAGTACCAGTCCACAGCCTTCTGCTCTTAGTGGATTTTGCTAGTTCTCCCTCTACTGAGAGCTTCAGAAAGAGCTAATATGTTATTCTATCTGAGACATTCTAAAACAACTGAAGATAGAAACATATGCAGTGATGATAATTTGCCATTGTGTTGGTTATATCCACTGAGTTTATTTTATTGAGATGGAAAGTCTTTCACATTGACAACAACAAACAGTTCACAGTAATATGAAACTCTGACAGGACAAATTCAATTTCTGCACATTCAAATTTTTTGAAAAACAACAAAGATATGTCTCAACTAATTGATCGGATAATAGAATGGTGTCAGATATTCCTAATCTGAAACAAGTCAGGAGCGTTTCCCTCAATGAAAATAAGGGAGACACCGTAAATCGGCTGTGGATTTTGCAGTTATAGGGAGATATCAAAGTGAAGAGAAGATGGGAACACCTGGTAGAGTGGCACCTGCATCAACGATGAAGATATTTCCAGTTACATATTCAGATGAGTCATGGATCAGATAGCGGACGACTGATGTAATTGCCGGATCTGATGTACCAAATGTTCTCAAAGGGATTATCTTTGTTGCAACCTTATTGATCCACTTTTTCCGCATGAGGCTCTCTGTTATCTCAGATTTGAATATCCCAGGGCTTATTGAGTTCACTCTGATGTTATGGACTCCCATTTCCAAAGCCATAACCTTCAAATTACAACAACCTTGGGTGAATATTGAATACTCCAATTACTCTTTAGAACTTGAGATAAATTTAATTATATGCCAACAAAAAAACTGATGCGTGTTTACTTCCAATAAAATGTGTATTACTCAAGCATGAGTTATTTTTTCAATGTAAAGAGCTGAAACTCAGAGTAATTTTATAAAGTCCATGTTGAGTTGGAAAGAGGGATGTGAAGAACCCATTCTTGCTAGAGTTAGTAATAGTACCTTAGTAATTGCATTAACACCTTCCTTTGAGACAGCATATGCTATGGCTCCAGGCAACTTCCCACGATTGAGACCAGAAATAGAAGAAATGTTGATCACAGTTCCTTTCAGCTTTGCATTAACCATCTGTTTGCATACATACTTGGAAACTAGCCATAAGCCAGTCAGATTAGTTGCAAAAGTGGCATTCCAGTCCTCTTCTGGCCAATCTAGTGGGGAGTAAACACCACCTGAGGCAAAATACACGAATCGGATGCAACAGAAAATAGATAGGCGTGAAAGTAGCTCACCACGAGGAGCAAGTTTAGAAATGTGCAGGTAACAAGAATCAAACAAGACATTGTTAGTTAAACATAGAAAAAACTAAATATGATCTGTGTAGGTCTTTCAATATATATAGTTTTCCCTGAGAGAGTGAGTTTCAATAAAATGATCATACACATATAAGCACACTATCTAATTAGATTCATGAAAACAATGGGACATGGGCACCAAATGCCAGTATAAGTGCAATCAAGATTGAGTCACTATAAAAGTCCCCACAAACACCACTTTTTATTTTTGAGACATATATGAGCAGTATATGCACCTTTTTTTTCTTCACCTTCTTGTATTCTGTTACAGCCTTTTGCAATGAAATAGGATCATAACCTTTTTCTAAAAAGAAGGAAAAATAAAAAAGATACAAAGGCCCCCATGATTAGATTAAGAATCATAACATGTTACTGCTCCTTGTTCTGCTTCTCGATTATGCCAGTCTAACAACAATAATGATTGTTGATATGACATATTTTGGGCCCCGGACACGTCACAACTGACGCCACACGCCAAGTCAGAACCGTACCAAGAAGCTGTTCCGCATGTCCCGTACCGAGAGCTTGGGGCAGTGCCATCTGACGCTGCTCCGCACGTCTTGAGACGGCAGCCGATCAAAAGTGTCGTCCCATCCCTCGAGGGTCAGCGGCCATGCCGAATCGACGCGCTACCGACCCTCGTGCAATAGTATAAAGCCCCTGACCGGCCTCCGGCCAGAGAGAGAGACATAAAAAAACAATCCACCCCACACTGACTTGCTCGTCGGAGGGGCCAAAGCCGGGGATCCCCCGGCGAGGGCCATTTTTTGCAGGCGAACGACCACCCGCGAGCGACGAGCGTCTCAACCCAGGGGACGCCATCCACCGCACAACGGAGAGCTGTCAATTGACCCAAATCCCGACCAACGCCAACCAGCACTCCTTCCCAAGGGCGCGACCACCTGCTCACTCTACAGAAAGCTCCCGACATCGACTCGCGGACCTAGCCGTGCTGACTCATCAGCCACGGTATATTTGTTCGCTAACAACTGTCATAGGTATTCCTCAACCTTGGCTAAATTAATCATCATCTATTCAAGAGTCCTCTCTTTTTCCCTTTTTAAGGAAAAGTTCATGGTTGAGCAGATACAATTCTTAAGCTAAGGAATGTTAGGTAAGTAACAAGTGATTGGAAGATTAACAAAAATGAAACACTGATACGTGCTTAAGCCAAAGATTCTTAGTCTGAAACAGTAGATTAGAAAATCTGCAAAAGCATAGAACACATAAAAATGCCTAATTTATGAAAAATCAATACAAGTATTATTGTGCAAAAATGAGTATTCTTAAATTAGTTCGAATGTCGACGATTGAAGCGTTGAGAGGAACCCCAGACGGCAAGTACCTCGAACCCCTGCATTGTTGATCAACGCATCGATGCGGCCGAAGGCGTCCCACGCCCTCTGGACCGCCGCCTCGATCACGGATCCCCCGGCGCTCACGTCGAGCTCAACGGCCACGGACCGCGCGGCGGAGCGGGCCGAGAAGGAGGAGGAAGGTGGCGGCAACGGCGAACCGGGGCCGTCGATCTCGTCGCAGAGGGATCGAAGGCGATCGATCCGGCGAGCGGTAGCGACGACCCTGCAGCCGGCGGCGGCGAGGTCGAGGCAGATCTCGCGGCCGATGCCGGAGGAGGCGCCGGTGACCATCACTACCTTGCCCTCGAGTCTCCGCCACGGCGGTCGATCCATCTCCTTGGAGTTCCGTTGATCACGTCAGCAACACAAATCTTATGGCATAGCGTTTCTTAATTCTGAATCTTTCTCGTTTGGTTTGTTGTTGAAGTAATATTTTTGATAATATGAGTTGTTATATATATATATATATATATATATATATATATATATATATATATATATATACGAGAAATAATTCGAGACGTAAGTATTCGGGAAAAATCTGACACACTGTCGCACAACGAGACACGACGGCAGGTCGCACGTGCGAATCCAACACGTGTCCGCGACATTGGGCGGCACCGCCACTGCGGGTCCAACCGCGTCCACGCCGCGCTCCATCACCGTGCCCGCAAATACGACCAAGAAAACAAGAGCGCACGCAAGTTCTCCTTTTTGCCTCTCCCTTTCCTCTTCGAGTTTTAACCCCGTCTCTACTCGTTCCCTCTCTCTCTCCTCTCTCTCTCTCGCTTTTTGTTCCCGTCTCCCCATCTCTCTCCGCAAGCCCCCCTCCCAGATCTGGAAAGCTCTTGCCCAAAGGCCCTCCTCGGATCACTTCTCATCGCCCGGAGTCAAATCCACCTAGGGGAGTCCTATTGCGTATTAGATCTCGAAAGGTGCGTTCGCTGAGTTTTCCCCCTTACATTTTGGATCCAGGAGAACTCTGAAGTCGAGATCTATTCCCCCATGGTCTTCCTGGTCTCTTATCTGAGAGCATAGAAGCACATGAGAAATCTTCGGGTAGTTGTTCCTGCCGATTATTGAAGGTCGCTGGGACCTCAATAAGGAGCTGGAAGTTGCAAGCAGATAGCTTTTCTGTTGACTTGAGTCTGTGGCTGATTTATCTTTGTTTCATTTAGGGGAACGGATGTTTTGGTGCCAACCATCTTCCTGAAACTTTGCCATCAAACAAGATTTGGACAGTAATTTGGAGTTGATTTTATGTGTAAACGCAGAAAACATTGATCTTTCTAAAGAATTTGTTTAAAGATCCGAGTTTGGTTAGAGTGAGAAATACTCAGTAGCAGATCCTGCTTACACTTTAAAGTTCTATAAATTTGATCAAGATAGTGTACCTAAACAAGTGTTTTCTGTTGATCTCATTGCTAAAAGATTAATTTTTTCTGTAATTATTAGGGAAAGGGGATTGTTGTAAGTCATTTATACACAATTTGGTGGTATAGATTAGGCATTCTTCGAGGACTATCCTTTGGGATTGCCTTTTGACTGCTCCAATAATGTGGAAATTGAAGCAATTCATGCCTAAGGAACCTAACAGCCTCGAAGGTCGCATGGTTGAGGTTGGAAACTTAAAGTTGCAAGTCCGTAACGTGATCGCTGAAGGGGGCTTCTCTTGTGTCTACCTTGCTCGTGATGCTGTTAACCCATCCAAACAATATGCCCTTAAGCACATGATTTGTCAAGATGAGGAGTCGTTGGGTCTGGCAATGAAGGAGATCTCGGTGATGAAAATGCTAAAAGGGCATCCAAATGTGGTTGTGCTAATCGCACACACTATCTTGGACATGGGCCGGGTGAAGGAGGTGCTGCTTGTGATGGAATTCTGTGAGAAGTCGTTGGTCGCAGTGCTGGAGAACAGAGGAGCTGGTTACTTTGAAGAGAAGCAAGTTCTTTTGATTTTCCGGGATGTATGCAATGCTGTTTTTGCCATGCATTGTCAGTCACCACCTATCGCTCATAGGTATGTTTATCTTGTGATTCTCATGTCTTTCATTTTAACTAATGGTTCTCCTTTCCATTTTTTTCTGAATTATGGAACACTAAAACCAAGATATTTATATATGGTTACCATGTTATGTTGTTCTGTCTCTATGTCACTTGCTCTATGAAGTATCACATGACAAAACTGCGATGGTTTTACTTGCCTACTTGTATATCTATGTACATATATACATGTGCAAACATATATGAATCATTTTTATAATTTAGTTGATCATATTAAAGCAGGAAAGTATCTCTATGATAATATTATCTGAAATCATGAGGATGAAATTGAAATCCAATTCCCCTTGATATGAGAAATATATGCTATGTTTGGGTTCTCTCTTCTGAACTTGTGATCACTTGGTTCCTTGCATCACCAGAGATCTAAAAGCTGAAAATGTTCTGCTTGGAGCTGATGGAGCTTGGAAGTTGTGTGACTTTGGTAGCACCTCAACCAATCACAAGTGCTTTGACAGGCCTGAGGAGATGGGTATTGAAGAAGACAATATTAGGAAGCACACTACTCCTGCTTATAGAGCCCCTGAGGTTTATCCTATGAACTTATTATTATAGTTCAAATTTTTTTCTACCTCCTTAATGTCTTTTCTGGAAAATTTAAAGTACTAATTTTCCTGCAGTTTCTTACTTACAGATGTGGGATCTGTACAGAAGGGAAGTTATCAGCGAGAAAGTAGACATTTGGGTATGCAAGCTAATATATCAACTGCTATGTGTCTTTTACTATTAAGGTTTTCTTTTACGACAAGTGTTTCTGAGATTGTCCGTCAGAGCTAAAGCAATAACTGTCCCCATCAGCTATTTCATCATTTAATTACAGTTCAGTTAAAAAAAAAAGATGATATCTGAAATTAGAACTTCAAGTGTACAATGAGAAGAATACTTGTACTATATATGCATCTTAAAATTTTAAATTCCTAGCAGATTCTAGAGCTGAAATTTTCTTCTACAAATTTTCTGCAGGCTCTTGGATGCCTTTTGTACAGAATCTGCTACTTCAAATCTGCATTTGATGGTGAATCAAAACTTCAGATACTTAATGGAAATTACCGTATCCCAGACTTACCGAAGTATGGCAATTCTGTTACCAAACTGATCAAGGACATGCTTCAAGCTTCTCCAGAATCCAGACCCGACATAACACAGGCAAGCGCATTGCTCATTAACCATTTGTCTCTGTAAATCTATGTTCATATTTAATGATGGCATGTGCCATAGCTTAAGATGCGAGAAAGCTGACTCTCTTTTACTTTGCCCGAATAATTTCCTATCACAGTTGTGGTTCCGGGTGAATGAACTATTGCCTGTGGAGTTGCAAAATGACTTACCTGTTAGCTCTACATCTGCCTCAACTGCAGGAATGCGATCTAGCCCATCAGGTTTACAAGATGATGGTAAGAATATTTTAATTATTTGCTGAACTCTTGCTTACAAATGGTCATTAATATGTTGTGTATAAAATAAGGTAAATAAAAAGAATTCTGCAACAAATAGATCCATACTCTACTATAGCATAGGTTAAACTTCTATATGAGAAACAAACCATATGGACATAGACATATACTTTGTCTTGCTGTGCTGACTTTAGACCATTAAAATACTTGTGTAAATATTCCTAATGCTTCTGGGTGATCTCCAACTATTTCTCCCTTGTGGAACCAACATTTGCATAATTTAACATTCCAAGATGGGTTTGCAGTAGCTCAAAGGAGGACCAATTTGGTGCCTCGTAGGAGCCCTCCACCTCCACCGGCTAAAGAACATGCACAGAATATATCACCTCCAGAGACTCAGAACTCCAGATCCTCCTGGAGCGCTTCAGTGGGTGGCGGAAGTGGGGGTCCCTTGGGTGCATTTTGGTCCACACAGTATGCCCAGGATTCACAGATATCAGAGGATAAAGGACCTGTGTTTGATGAGGAGCCTATCAACCAATCAAAATCCAAACACAATCCAACAAACCACTCCAGGGAACACCGAGCCAGAACTCCACCTAGGCACTCTGTCAAGAGTCCTGAAGTTGGTTCCAGTGAGGATTTTGAGATAAGATTCTCTCCCAATGGATCTGAATATGGTCCAGAGAAAACTAAAGTATCCAATCATCAAACCAAAAGTATTTACCAGGATCAGGCATTCAACACATTCGTAGCTGAGTTTGATACAAGTAAGCTTAATTCTGGGAATGCTGTTAGCAGCGCAAGTGATAAGCATAGATCAGTGGAGAAAGAGTTGGAAGATGAATTGAGTAGGCTGAAGCAGGAGCTAAAGCAGGTTAACGGGGAGAAGGAAGAAATGACATCTAAATGTGAAAAGTTGTCCGCCATCTGCCGCTCCCAGAGGCAGGAAATCCAGGAGCTGAAGCGTGCTGTTGCTGCAGCAAGCCCCTCACCCCCAAACAAAGAGTCCAAGCCTCAAATCTCTCCTGGAAGCTCACAGTCAGATACGCCGGTATTATTTTTTGCTCCCTGCTAAATTATCGTTTTTTGTTGATATAATTTACATTATAGCAACTGTAACCTGAGATTCCTGTATTGTAAACTGTGATCTTTTGCAGCCTAGGGAGAAGATAGAGGGAAACTTGCCCGAACTCCAGCGTGGGTTATTTCCAAATAATCCTTCTACACCTAGTCCAGATCCTAAGCCATGGTCTGCTTTTGGTGACACAATGGTCCAGGATACACCCAAGAGCAGTCATCCGAAATCAGTCAGGACAATCCGCGGAACCAACAGCAACAGGAATAATATCAAACAGCCCAGTGCGAGTTCAGCAGATGAACCATGGGGCTTCAATCAGGACAGTTTCAGGGCAGACTCTCATAGCTCACAAGTACCTAAACCATCATTTGAAGGGAACACTTCACAGCGGTTTGGTGGTGGTGGCCCTGGCAAGGTTAAGGCTGTAGAGACCAACCGGCCATCTGGATGGACTGGATTCTAGTTTCCATGACCAAGCCAAGATTACAAGATGTTACCGTCAACAAACACAATAAAGCTTGTGATTTTGTTGGTCATGGCTGGCAATTACCTCCTTTTATGGAAGAGTCATTCAGACATGGCCATGGTGCAGCATTCATGGACATTTAAGGTATTCCCTGGTGTTCTTTGGTCCTTGTCCTTGATTGTAAGGTGCTTGGGTTCCTCCATTAGATAATAGGTGACCATCCATCTTGTTTGAATTTGTATCCAGTGACAAACTACAAGTTACTTTACAGTAATCATAAATGTGATTTGGTCCATTACCTTGTGAGCAATGATGGTATGTTTGTCATAGTTTACACATGTATTACTAGCAAGACATTTAATTTATATTCTTTCTTTTCTAAAGCTTCATCCAATGCCATTAACTTATGCCAATGGGTATAATTTTCTTTCTTTTTCTTTTATAAACATTTATTTTGATGCATCCAAAGGTGGTATGAGACACCACAATATTTATATTGCGAACTCCACAATTTTTTAGGCGTTCAATGCACAAAACAATTCCCTTCTTCACAGTTAAGATTACCTCAATCTCATTTCAAATCTTCTGGGAAGAAGTTAACTGGGAGACATATTATTCTAAAGGAAACATTGTTGGGTATAACAGCTCAAGGTACAGACTGCATAGAATTAGAGTACCACGCAACATGAAATAGAAGTGCTCTAACCTCAGTCAAAATCTGTGGAGATTTAGCAGGCTATTGAGGTTAATCTCCCAACTTCTGATACGTGTTTGTGCATTAACCTTCAGGCTGAGTGAGCTCCATTATGACCCATTTCAGCTCTGCTGAATATATATATTCAGATGCAAACTCTTCATTTTGACATTTTGGATACATAGAAACAGATGAATCTTTTGGAGTAAACAAAGACACCAAAGATATCAAGCAAGCATGAAAAAACTAGCAGCAAAGATATCAGATCTAATAGTTCGAGGAAAGAACAACCATTACTCTCTAAATTAAAGAAAGCTACGATATCTGTCTCAGCTAGTGGCAAAATCAAACAAATTATGCTAGAGGATCACTGTTGCCAGTGCTAGAAGAACACCTAGAGCTATTAACACAATCATCTCATCACCTGAACAGCCCACAAAATTTTCATCAACATCAGATTGGACTTAAAAGAGAGACAAAAAGGCAACTCATGTAGATTTTGGCTTGATTCTCTTCACCCTTGAGTACAGGAAAACTCCACCAAGTGCCACGCCAGTTCCTATAATGGAAGAGTTTAATTACCAAGGCATAAATGGTTCAAGTGGCACGAAAAGAGTATTTGATGATCTTCCAAGTCGCGAAAAGGAGTTACCAAGAGCGTTGATGGGAGAAACTGGTGTCCTGAAAAAGAGTACTGAGGTCACAATGACTACCACCCTCTTCACACAGTTACCAACAGAGTGGGTTACAGGTGATACCCTTGACAATATCATGTAGGAAACCTGATAGACCAATTCAAGTTTATGAAATAACAATTGAGAAGAATAAGAGAAATTTCAACAGGAAAGCTGATGTAATATAAGCGAATTATTGGCTCTGCACTGAGAAAAATCAACTAATTTTTCACAAAGTTGAATACATACTTCAACATTCTTTTTGTGGGTCCTGCACGTGGACATATATTTCCAATGTTTTTCTACAACAAAATGAATTTAATGTTTTTTCCTGACATTTCCAAGCATGTATTTAAATAACAGGAACAACAAACCATTGTTTTGATTCAAAACATTTTGTTTTATTAAGCATAAATGTAACAAAAATTAATTCCTTTCCCCATTTTCCAGAAAAATAAACTACTTTTTCTTTGCAATTAAACGCACAAAAATTGTACATCCTAAGAAAGAAATAAGCATCCTAAACATATAGGAACCACCATCCAACAATTAATGATCAGAGCCATTCTTCTATAAGAAGTGGAGGCAGATGTTAGGTCATAGAAGTTACTTCCAGAGAAGAGTATAAAGAATGTCTGTGATGGCTAATCAAGCCTTCCAATACGGAAATAGATATCCTGACCATTGTCTTATTCAAATGTCAGGAATAATTTCAAGAGCCAAATAAACTTGAGTAGAAGTAGATAGCTTCTGTAAAGCAAACATATTAATGCAAGAATGACAAAAAGATTTAGAAATATCAGACCTGTTGATATGCATGAAAACACAGACCAGCAATGAGTGATCTCAAGTATATCTGTTTAAGATTCAGACCCTAGCACACCAACAAAGCAAGAATAAGTGCAAATTATTTATGAACATCATTATGGATAGAAAGGTATACACATGAAAAAAACTAATTAACTCATCATACTTACAGCAGACTCCAAATACGTAGGAGTAATCTTGATGCCTTCAACAAACAGAGTCACAGGTGCTAGTAGGAAAAATGACATGATTGTTATTATTGAGAACAGATTGATGTTGTCTAGAGATTCCTGCCAAAAAAAAAAAAGCTGCTGAAAATTATACCTACAAGCATAACAATTTCTTAGAGCAGAATCAGTTTACCAGAGTCACCTTCATCTTTAAAAGATATAGAAAGACAAGATAATAATGGTAGACAAATGTATCACATGAAGCAAATAAATTCATTTTCACAGAAACAAATATAACCTCTTTCTTAACCATGACTTTCTTGCTGAGAACATTGCGGGATTGGAATGTCAGGTTGGAAGCCATTGCACTCCAAAATCCAGCCCTGTTTGTGACAGAGGAGGGACTTAGAAACACAAACATGAGAAAACTGAAATTAGCAAAATTAATTAGTGGATAGGGGTGAGTGGGCATGAATTTTATCTATAATTAAGTCTTAGCTTATGAGTTTTTAGTGCTAACTTCTGCTGATAAGACCACCAATATCAGTACTAATTATAAAAGCCAACAAAACTGAGATATCAGTTGGCATTTATAGATCAGATCTACAATCACCAATGGGAGAAAAAAGAAACAATCTTGGTTTTTTCAATGTTTGCACAGTATTTAGACATCTTATCCCAGACATATTACATTATTTAACTTAGTAGAGTCTTTACAATTTGGCGAAGAAATTCTGATATCTTGGTCTTACTCACTTCTGAGATAAATGAGACATTTGAGAAGATTGAAGAGGGAGAGACTGGAAAAAGGCCTAAATGCATACTGATATTTCATTAAACAAACTAGTTAATCTTTTTTTATTATCAATGACTTACCAATTAAAAGAAGCTTCAGTCAATGATGCCAAGGCTACACCACCAACAATTGGCATTAGAGACAGTATAACCCAGATAGTAGGCACCTGCATCCAAATCCAGTAAAAGATTATTGATATAAAGCAAACTATCACAACTCTGAAGATGCAGATTGCAGTTTAAAGGATGTAGATTATAGTTTAAGAGCCAATGATCCAAAAATTGAAGGATCTATGTGCTTCGACTTTTTATTTCTTTTTGAAGAGTCTTGCACATAGAGTCTATCTATGTGCTTCAACTTTTTATTTCTTTTTAAAGAGTCTTGCACATAGAGTCTATTCGTATTACACCAGAGTATGGAAGTAGTAACAAGGAATTAAGTGCATTAAAAAAAGGATGCTAGACCACTATTTTCTAAAGCACATGATCATCATATATTATTTTCAGGATAAGAGAGGTCACAAGATAGAGAGGCTAATTCACCTACTAATTGTAAGGTTCCCTTATCCTGATAAAAAATAAAAAAAAAGCTATTAAAATTTACCTCTCCTAAGAACAGGGCGGAAAGGAGTACTGAGAAAAAAGGCTCCATGGCTTTTATTGTGTGCGTGAATGAAACAGAAACTCTCCCAAGACTCATGTTAGTGAATAGGTTGCCCATTGTGTGAACAAGAGCCAATGGTAAGATTGCGGCGAGCTGAAAGAAAAACGAGTAACTTATATAATTAATGAAAGTATTGCACATTTCATGATTGACCGATGTGCTATTTGCTCATAAATGTAGAGATAAGCATCATAGCTTGATACCTGCATAGGAGAAATCTTAGGACGCTTGTAAAGATTAGTGGTCCACATAAATAGGACAAGGAATGTTCCAATGGAAAACTGAAGCAGCGTGATGGTTAGTGGGAATTGAAAAACCTTAAGAACCTGCAATAAGGTAGGACAGTGTCTTACTCTGCCATTTATATAACATCATTCTGCATACACGAAACCAAAATAATCCAATGTCTATATATAAGCAGAGAAAACCTTTCACATCAATCTTAGGGAAAGAATGGCAATACCTAACCTGGCATGACAAGAGCCAAACAGAAGTTATATACGCTCTGGAAGCATTGCTGTAAATGAAATTAAAGTTCTTTCACTTGCCACTAAAAAGAGTCGTGCTAAAAACTACATAAGCAAGAGAATATGTAGCTTTCTCCAGCATTACATTTCTAATGATCCAGAGGATCTCTTGTAGAAACAATCACTCACCATGATATAAGTTTGATACCCATTGTGACCACAGTATAATATAAAGTTCCACAAAACAATAGTAGTGCATTCTTAAATATAAGAGTTTGATAGTACAAATAAACCTCACTCTTTAGTGATTGCATAAGCATCTAAGGAAAGCATGAAGATCACTTCAACAAGCTCTGTGTCAACATTCAAGGATGAACAAGGTAACATCCATGAACCGCAAACAGCAAGAGCTTACAAATCATCAGTTGTGCAAGCAATTAAAAGAAAAAGAAAACCTATTATTGAGGTTTTTCTAAAGCTTATAGTCAAAGGCGAACATTCTGCAAAAAGGTGTGGAAACTGCGCAAGATTAGATTTTCTTTTTCCGATCCAAACGCAAAGTGCACGGATTAGTTCACAAGGACTGGCGCAAGTAGGGAGGAGGAAAGGGGAGGCAGGGATACCTGCTTGTTATATATGTTGAAGTAGATGTTGAAGAGGTACCAGAGGCCGAACAAGGACCCAAGCAGCAGCGTCTGAAGAAGGTCTCCTCCGGGGGCAGCCTCCTTGTCAGAGCCCCCGCCGGTGCTTTCGGGGACGGAGCTCGCCCGGACAGTGAGAACCCCCTTCTCCCGCCTCCTCTGTTCCCAGTCCGACGCGAGAAACGGGGCGGAGACCCAAGAGGCCCCGCTGCCGTGACACCGACCAGTAGAGCGGGCATGGATCTGGAAGGATGCGGCACAGAAGGGAGCGGCGGCGGCAAGGCGGAGGGATCTCCCGAGAAGGCCACGGACGAGGAGGCAAGAGGCGGGGGTAGGAGAGAGAGGGGCAACGGCTGCCGCGCTCTGCATCTCGGGAAGCTACGTCGCTCTACTCCTCCTCGCCACCTCGTCCACTGCTCCGCGCGACGGAGAAACCAATGGCGGCGGTGGCAACAGAGCGCTGGCTTGTCTGCTATTGGCTACCTTCCTCCACATTGTGAGCTGAAAACAGAAACAGAAACAAAACAAAACAAAAACACGACAGCAACACGAGTGTTGTCGATGCACGATGGGGCAGATCTTACCCATACTTCCACACGGGTCGGACCCACAAAACAAAGGAAGAGGTTAGGATCGGATTACGTCGCACGAAAGGCAGCTTAACGAACTCGGAGAACGTGTCGTGGTTGGGAGATATCCGGCGAGCAATTCGATGGCTCTCCTTCTCTACTTCCGCTACAAAAGAGGCGAGTCAGCGAAGTCTCAACGCCTTCTCCGCCTCTGGCGGTGACGATGCAGCAAAGAAATGGTCAACCAGTTACCATGCAGGCCGTCAACACCTTCCGCTCCCCTATATTACTCCCCCTCGCCTCTCCCTTCCTCCCTCAATCCCTCTTTCCTTCGGCTTTCCCACCTCCGCAATAAAGAAAGCTATAATAATACTCCGCAGCAATGACCAGATCCACAGCACAACTCACCACCCTTCTCCTCCTCGCGGCGCTCGCCGTCGCCTCCGCCAAACCCCGCTCCGCACGCCGCTCCCTCAACGAAGCCGCCGCCGCCTGCGAGTTCGTCACCGTCCCCCAGCTCTGCACGTCGCTGGCCGCTAAGTCTGGAGCCACGACGGTCCCGGCCCTGACCGTGGCTGCCGTCAACGAGGCTGCAGCCACCGCGCAAGAAGCGAAGGTCACGGTGGAGAGGATCACCGCGGCCCCCATCACCGACGCGAAGCTGAAGGCCAACCTCGATGTGTGCTGGAAGAGCTACGTGGACTCGCTCGACACCCTGCAGAAGGCGGGCAGTAACCTGCAGACGGGGGCGCCACACAACGAGTTGGTCAGCCACATCTCGGCCGCCATCACCTACGTGGGCCACTGCAACGACGCCTTCAGCCAGAACCCCGGCCTGGTGTCGCCGGTGGCGGACGTCACTAGTATCCTAAAGAAGCTCATCAGCAACAGTCTTGCCTTGGCCGTGAGCCTACAGTTCCACCACTAAGTAGTATGCATGCGTGTGGAACGTCGAGAGCGAGAGAGAGGAAGAGGAAGGGTCAAACGTGTTGACCATGCATGGAGGACGTAATCTTTATATGTGATTGTAATAACGGTGGATAACAAAGAGCCTGAAGGAGTTCCGATGCTAATTGTTTACGATTGCTTCATCTGGTTTCGTCTGTGATCATTTCTCTAAGCTAATGTTCCAAGAATAATTGCGAAAAGCTTTAACTTGGTTCTGCGATCTACTTATTTTAGATTATCCACTACGGTAACCTAATTCTGGGCGCAAGTCGTGGTTTTGATGAGGCACTGCGATGCAATAGTCAACGCCCTGCAGGCGAGTTGAAACACGCGACAATGATTTATGGAATATTAGATGAATAAAAATAAATTGCAAAAAATTCGAGGTTGCGTCATGCTGTCGTCTGCCCAAGTAAGCATGACGCCACGTTTGATGGTGACGTAACACTCGAGCAATTATATAGTTGACTTTGATATATTATGACGTGTCATAACCTCACATCAGATCGCTTCTCCTTAAGATGTCTCCGGAAGCTTTATGACGTGTCATAACCTCACATCGGATTGCTTCTCCTTAAGATGTCATAACCTCACATCAGATCGCTTCGTCCTTATGACGTGCATCATCCGATTGTACTCAATTCTTCCCATCACCATATGCTTCATTCTCGTCAATTTGAGAGGATTTCGTCTCATCGACTTCGTCTTTAATCGACATATCATCAAAAAAAGTTAGCATTGAAAGAGCACAGAATCCAGTGGTATTTGTAGGAACAATAAGTGCAAGTAGATGAATATTGTATTTAATTTGTCTTATTCATATATCTTAAAAATACATTTCTTTCTCGATCGACATGGCTACGTCAAATCTAATCCTAATGAACATTGTAAAGAGAACGGAGCCGGCCATTCCGAAGTTGACCGGAAGAAGGGGCACATTAGAATTCTACGACTTAGGATACGGATTAAGCCACGGCCTCAGGCTTGGGTCATGTTTGTGAGAGCGCTAAGGTATAGGTAGATGACTTCTTATATATAGGAACACCAGAGGACGTACTCAGGACACAGCCAGCTGACATAGAAGAAGAAGGAGGAGGAGGATAAGAATGGCAGCTAATACCTGCTGCAGGCCAATCTTGATCCCTTCTGCCGTATCTCTTGTAGTGCTGCTTCTGCTCGCTGCTACCGCACCTGCCTTCTCCTCATCGGAAGGAAGAACGCTTCTTGAGAGGCTCAACAAGCCTTCTGTGAAGACAGTTCAGGTCCGTCACCTAATCCTTTACTGCTCCTTCTTCTTCATCATCATCTTCTACCTGAGACTTGACCTACCTTTTGCTGGTCTCATAGACTGCGTTCCCTCGCATCTCCAACCGGCTTTCGATCACCCCATGCTGAAAGGATCAAAGCCTTTGGTACGTAACTGTTCTATACCACGTCTTTAGATCACATCTTCACGTGTTGATAGTTCCGATCGAATGCTTACAGGATCCACCGGAGAGACCCAGATGCCACACCGGCGACGGTATGGCCGACGACTTCGTCCAGCTATGGACTACCTCCGGAGAGACGTGCCCGGAAGGAACGGTTCCGATCAGAAGAACCAAGGAGGAAGACATACTTCGCATAGAGATGTTCGGCAGGAAGCCATTCGCGAGAGTACCGCAAAGCACCAACGTCAGTAACCACGAGGTTGACATCAATCCAACCAAATTAATTAATAGTATATATATAACACATAATCTGTACTCGAAATCATTGATGAGCATTACTTCATGCAAGCAAGCCTATTAACTAACGAGGGGTTGACTGCACGATCTTGTGGGAAGAAAAATAGACCTCGGCATTCAAATTGATAGTATATTATTTGCAGAATGATGTGAGTGGTTTGACAACATCAACGTTAAATGATGCGAATACTTATAATAATATTACATGTTATCATCGAAATTATCTCTAGAAATCTATGCCATGCTTTATATTCATGGGGTTAATTACAGTACGCGATCGGGCTTGTCGAGGGAGAACAATACTACGGTGCACAAGCATTGTTCAATGTTTGGGCTCCTCAAGTGGCCAACCGCGGTGAGTTCAGCTTATCGCAGTTATGGATCATCTCGGGAAATTTTAGCAAGGATCTGAACACTGTCGAAACAGGGTGGCAGGTAACATTACGTACTACTTGATCAAGCCATTTATACATATAGTTCCATAAACCTAAAGAAAGAATAATATTTTCTGGAATTCTCTTTGTCAAGAAAGAATAAAGGATCTGAACACTTTCGAGAATGAATATTTGCAAGGGCTGATGGTTCAGCAGGTTTTGTTAATCTCATGTGGATTGAACTTTCTCGATCTGATTTGACCAAAAACATGAAAAGGATTCATGTTTTGTTGTCGCTTGGATCTTTCTCAGGTGTATCCTGAGCTGTATGGAGATTCACTCCCGAGGTTCTTCGTTTATTGGACGGTGAGGGTTCCTTCTGAGATCTGACCTTAAACTCGTATCATCTACATTTAGTTTCTCTAATAACTTAGACGATACGTTGAGAATCCTGCAGAACGATTCATATCAAAACACAGGCTGCTACAACCTCTACTGCTCGGGCTTCGTCCAGACCAACAACAGTGTCGCTGTAGGAGCAACTATCACCAAAACATCGACGTATAATGATACTAATCTGCAGTATGTGATCAGAATCACGGTGTGGAAGGTGAGTGATCTCCTCCTGCAAACACCAATCTACCTCAGAACAATACAACGTGGCTGCTGGCTTGACATCTCATTCCCAGAACTGTGTTGAATCCTCGTGCTGTGGCCCTTAGGATCAAAAGACTGGGAACTGGTGGCTGCAGCAGGGATCAACAGTTGTGGGATACTGGCCAAGCTTCTTGTTCAGTAACCTTGCAAGCAGTGGAACCATGGTGGAATTTGGTGGGGAGATCGTCAACATCCGTCCTTCCGGCAACCACACCGACACCCAGATGGGCAGCGGACACTTCGCGGAAGAAGGCTTCGGCAGAGCTGCCTACATCAGCAGCATACGAATCGTGGATTCGAACGACACACTGATCCCGGCGAGAAACCTCACCTACTACGCCGATAATCCGAACTGTTACGACGTACAAGGCGGTGTCGACAATTCAGGGGAGAGCTTCTTCTACTTTGGAGGTCCAGGAAGAAACGCTAGATGCCCATGAAAGACTAGAAGAGCTTCTCTCTCCAAACCACTCGTCATCATCATGTGTGTGGGTGCTGCTCCTTCCTTTTCCTTTAATAATGGTGAAGAAGACATGTATCTATCTTCTTCGCAACATCTAATTTCTGCTGTGGTTTGTCGTGGAAGTGTTCGCTTCGTTGAATAATGGCGAAGAAATTGTCTTCTTCGCGAGTCGAGGTTGGTTGTGAAGGTGTGGTCGCTGTCTTCGTGTCGTATGGGAATGGGAAGCAAGAAGAAATGGTCTGCAAAATAATGCAGTTCTATCAAATATATGTAATGTTGGCATACTAAAAGGTCTGCATTGTTGTTTACGACTCTTTCTCGGGCCACATGACGACGGCAGAGATGAATTCCTATTACCAATTGATCCTAAAGAATAGTTTTCATTACCTCATATTATTCCATTCTGAAGTTGACCAGAAGAAGGCAATGGGACAGTAGTAAGTTCATAGATTAGGTCAAGATATCAACAAAGTACAACTTGGACACGAATGAAGCAACGACCTACGAAGAAGGAAAACAAATTTACTCATTAGTCTATTTACATTGGTGCTCAAGTTGCATCCAAATTTACATTATCAAGTCTAAGATGGATTGCATTGCAACAATAAAATGGTGTTTATCCACACAAAAAAAAATCCATGAACTCTGTGATGATAACTATGGTCGAGAATCATCAGCATCACTGTTGCTTGGACATGGAGTTAGGAATACAAAAAGGAAAAATCCTAATTACAACCATTGACTTGCATATTACATAGAGCAAAGATTCTGTGGGTCAGTCAAAGTGTTAACCACAGGAACAAATGAAAAAAATGCTTACTTCGGAAATTTTCATCACCTGTTGCAACATTAGCTAAAGTAGGATCTAGAAAATTATCAGGAAGAAGCTGGGTTGACTGATGGATTCTAGGCTTGTAGACATCCACAATGACCATGTCTCTACCTTTTAAAACCAAGATCAGCCCAAACTGGTTATAATGAACATGGTTTCATTAAAAGCATAGCACGACAAGATACAAAAGTCAAGCTACAATGACAAATCAAGGAAAATCACCAGAAGTCAGTGGAACTACTTCTGCCGCTTGTAGATCTTGTGCAGGAAAGACTTCAAAACATCCTGAACTGCTTTGCTTGGCAGGGCTTCAATTGCAGAGATAAGTCGTTCATAACTGGTCCGCTCATACTCGGAAAATACATTCTAAGTTACGAAAGAAGAAAAAAAAATTAAATAAGGTCATCTGAAATTACAGATAATCAACCATTAAATGTAAGCCCTAATTATTTAAGTTAAAAAAAGAAAAGATACAACTATGAAATAATTGATGATTTTTCCTATAAATTTAGGTAGTGTTTTATCAAAGGTCATGACATAATGCTGACCAATTTAATTCTGGTGCATGTTCCTGCATCTTAGTTCGATAATTGGATTATGCTTCACCTCATGTCATGCATGCAAATTTCTCTAAATGATAAACCCTACAGGCTTTGTAAGGTGATCTTGTTGAGTCATGTATACTAGGAATATTTGTGCAACCCACCAGAAAAAGGTTGCTAAATAAGAGTTGGAACAACTTATCTCAACTGCAACTTGATCATCTGTTTTATGACCAGATTTTGGTTCAATTAGGCCTGCATATGGATGTCCAGTATATAGAAATTTTGATCACCAATCCTAAAGACTGCCACTTTGAAGAATCCAATCCTATTAATGTCTCCATCAGTTTGTTCGCAATCAGCTCACCGCTGCTCTTCTCTATCAAGTAATGGTATAACCATCTGTTCTGCTGCAATCGCCAAAGGGTTGCTCCTCATATACAGCTGGCTTCACTCACCATTATGATCGCTCCAAGGCCACACAATTTAACTGCGATGCTGATTGATTGTCAGCTTGTGTGCTTAAATTTGATGATC